TATAGCAATTCTATTGCTAGGCATGACCATCGGCACTTTGATACTTTTTATCTTCAAATTCATAAGATAATGAAGAAATTGAAAGACTTATTCTCGCCTAGAATATCAGCAATGAACAACAATTAATCACTTACTTATTTAGCTAGAAAATTTGGAAATAGTTTGAGATTGATCTTTCATTGATTTATAAACCACTCGAATTTCAGGAAAAGGAGGAAAGTAATCGTAAAACTAAGGAACTTGAACAACAAATTGAACTAACCAATGTAATTTTGTAAATTATTTTGAAAGTCTAGTCATTTGTATAAATTTTAAGTAAATAGCTTTATTATTGGATTAAAAATAGATGGCGGCCGAGCAAAAATTACAAGAAATATTTAATGATGCTAAAGATGAGAAACTTCAATTAGACTCTGAGATTTCATCGTTAAAGGTAAAAGCTTGCATGACTATAGTACATATTATTCTGATAAGATATATTGCTAAACTTACGTAACTTTTATTTACCTTCAGCTTCAGTTAGCAGATGAACATGCAACTGTTAAGGCCCTTCGCCGACAGCAAGCCAAGGAGAGAGAAGAATATGAGCGAATCACAGCTGAACTAAGCTGGTATTTATGAAGATCTTTAAGTATTACTAACTAAAAGAAGGGATTTTTGATGGAGTATTTTACATACTTTTATAGGATCATTGAAGAGAACAGTAAATTAAAGCGAATGTATTCTGTTCTTAAGGAAGATTATGATGAACAGGTATGGCCTGAAAGTTAACACATTTCTAATTTGAATTTCATGTTTCTAACATATGTATTGTCTGTTCATTGATGATATAGAAAATTAGAAGAGAAGATGAAGAGGCTAGGTAAGAGGCACATTACGGTAGATATGTTGATAAAATTACAAAATCATATGTATCAACTCAATACCTTTCTTAACTTTTGTTGCAGTGGAACACAATTAAGAGAGGAAATTAATCAAATCAAAGAAAAAAATCATAAGTTGACTTCAAACTATGACGTATGCATAACTATCTATACAAGTTCAATATACGAGTACAGTGTATAGCGATTTATAATATTATTAGTAAAATTTTTTACGAATGTCCGTACACTGTAAGAATATAATGAAGTAATGTCATGGTAAACCGACAATTATTTCTAGAATGCTGTTTTGATATTATCTCGCGAACTGGAAGGCTTAGTAGACCAGCTTACTTTTGACAGTCATCCTAACATGCCGGTAAGGTTTTATCTTGGGTTGTTAGTGCATTGTAAGTAGTTTTACTACATACTTAGATTGCACCTAACTTGTATCTTTACTACGATGCATTTCGTAAACAGCTATTACCTGTTGGTGCAGATCCACAGAACGAGCCACATAGATGGCTCTCAGAAGTAACGGTAGGTACTCGCTTTTTTCGAAAAATTTTCTTGTTAAATCTCGTCATCGATTTTACAAGTATATCTCGATTAGATTATATTTCATAATCTTGAGTTACATGAGATCAAATTGACTAGCCCATTCGTACATATATATCAGAGCCAAATTCATTGGATAAAAGAAGTGATAAAAAATAAACGTCATCAGGATGATCAACAAAAATCTGTAATTGAAGAAGGAAGAAACGAGATTCGAGTAAGCATGACTTTATGCATTAACTCATTGCGTACTTCGATACAATTATTAAAATTGATTGATATAATATTAGATTAAGATATATTAGCAGCCTTTTGAACAATCTCATAAGAATATCGAAGTCCTAAGATACATATAAATTTCGTTGTAATAGCAGAGTATCTCATAGAGAATAAATACTCTGATATCTTCCTTTGGCTATTGTTAAATATCATTATGATGAGTGTTTTAATTTGATTTTTAATTATTAGGAACTTATCCGTAAAAGTGATAGAGACAAAGCGTATTTGGTATCTGAACTAAAAAAGCAAAAAGCAATGCTTGAGGAACTTTCTAAAGAGAAGCTAGGTATGATTATCTGGTATCGTATAGCCAATTCTTAAATAGGATTGTTTAAAAATGGAGATTCCTTCCAAGGAAAATAATACTAGTATGATCGTCTCTATGACTTTATAGTCGCTCAGCAGAAGGAGAGAAGCGATACCTTAAATTCTCTTCAGGTAAGGAATATAAAATCTAGGCTACTGAGTAACAATAAAAACAACATTAATCTTACTTTCAATGTTATTAATAGGAACGTGTCTACAACTTGACACAGCACTTAGAGAAAGTAAGTGTTTATCCGTTTCGAAGACCTGATCAAATTAGGGTGCAGTTCTTTATAATACTAAATAGTTACGACTAATCTATGTTTAAAGAACGCCAGAACGCTACAATCCAGTACCAATAATCTACTTGAAAAACAAAATATGTTGGGACAATTATTTGATTTAAAGGTAAAGGATAAATAGAAGGCAATATTAATATAAATTATGTATCTCGGCTAATGGTATTACTGGTAGATTTAAGGTATTAATCTGTGTAATCGAATTGTTATCTAAGGAATCAGAAATGGAAAAGAATAAAATACAGGATCGATATTTAAAGTATTGTATAACATTAAATGCAAATTAGCATTTTACAGAAAGTATTTACATTCTCTAATTTTTTATCTTTACTCCAAAGATATAAGGAGAAAGTAAATTTCTTGCAAAGTCAATTGAGCAACGGTCAACAGGCTATTGAACCTTATCAGGTTACTTATATCCTACTACATTAATAGTATTAATGTATTAAAAATTTAAAACATGAATCTTAACAATTTCTTTACGGTTTTGATAAATTTTTATTCGATTTCAGGTTATTTCTTCTCCGTTGAGCTCATTCCCGTCCAGGCTTGCCAACAACACGTTCGATTCCAAGGTTACCAGAAATGTCCTTTTAGACGTAAAACAGAAAATATCATTTACATAACGGTGGATTATTATTCATAACTATGATTAAACTTAGGAATATACAAGTTCGCCAGTTCGAAATGCTCATGATAGCCAATATCTAGATACCTCCGTCTCTGTTAGGTTAGTCAAAGTGAAAAATTGGGAGTATCATTTCTAATTGGATTTGAATGTATTTTAACTAGAATTAAATTGTAATTTTTTCTTTTTTCCTCGCTTACAGAGATCGAAGCAAATCTCCAGAACTTGATAATCGTAAGCTAAATTGATTACTTAAATGTCTGCAGCAATAAATTGATCGCTGCGTATTGTTTATGTGTTATGTTTATTAATCATTGCAACAGGTAGTGATATTTCACCAACACAAAAACACGGAACGGATTGGAGAAATATCCTTTTCGGATAATGCCATAGATTTTTTTGGATACAACTTTTGGCGGCCGATAAAGCGTCTGGTACCCATTATGCCTAATATTTAAGATATGCTCGGCCTTCTTTTTTTATAGATTTACAATTTTTGAATAATTAGAAGAAAACATAAGTTTTAGTCATGCAACAAGGTAACATAAAAATTAGTTCTAGGTTAGCAAGGATTTGCTCAATCGAAACACGATGTCGTTTAGTATTCACTCTACATATACAGTTCATAGAGTGAAGCATGTGAAATCGATATAGGATTTTGAATATAAATAGGTGCTACGATAGATTATAGTAACTGTAGCATTCGTCTACATCCATATCTTTATTTAATAAATTATGAAGATAACTTGGCGAAATCGCCCACATGTATATTTCACGTGAGTGATTATGTGTAACTGTTTATGAATAGAATTATCCCAAATTTTTATGAAAAGTTAGCTTATATCCAAGTATCGTAGTCTATTTTTTTATTCATTTTTGAAGATTGCGTAATATTATCATTTATATTTGAAAAAAATGTAATACTGTACTGTAATGATCACGTTAACCATTAATTTGTCACATGCAAATTAATGCCTTAAATTTAAAAATAAAGTAAAACATCCCTTATTTCGCTTTGGTCCCTATTCCACTATTTTATTGAAAAAAACGTAAACATGAATTGTTTGTACTGCTCAGTAGCGTTTAATTGGCGTCTGTGCGTAATATTATGACCTGATGCCGTGTAAGCATTGATGTTAGTCCTAACCCCTTGGCTTTAATTGTTACTCTTAATTATGCTTGTAAGAAATATAATTTTCCATAATAAATGTACAGATATTCGTAGGAATTGTATGAAAGTATCAGTAATTTTTAGAGTAGCCGAGGAAAGCAATTCTCAACCTGTAATAATGTTGCACTGTCGCGAGTGAAGTAGTTATTTGTAGTTAAAAATAGCGAGATATCATTTATTTTGAAGTTTTGCAACGCTGGATCGTAAGAATTAATTTCTAAATAGTGGCATGTAAACTGTAGAAGAAAAAGAATTTGAGTTCTAGCAGGCCTATTCATTTACGTCCAGGTACGCACACCAGTTATGTGTACGTCCAATAATGAACATACTGTACGTAGTAAGATCTAATATAACGTGAATACGCGTACCACAGTTACTAGGTAAACGAAATTATTCAACGGTTTCTTGCAATGTTTATCAAAGACTGAACAAGATTTCCTGTACGACATATTTGATGTACTACTCATACAAACAGTCCGTCAGATACAATATTATATGTACCGATATTGCTGTGGCATTTATTGCCTAAATTTCATATTGACCTTAGAATAGTGATTTCATCAAAAATTTTCATTGTACCATTTGTAACGATTTTTCGAGGACTGATAACAAAACAATATATTCCGTTTACGATTTTATGCTTTTATCATAAGTCACTTAGAAGATACACAACAAACGCGAGTATTAGCCAGAGCATTATTAAAAATGGGTTATACTACATCTTTCTATACCATTTCCCTTGTACGATTGTATAGAAACAGTTCTGATCTCTAAAAATAGGCAAGGCTTGCAAGCTGCATTAGTGTATCCGTTAAGCATTATACTAATCATCATGTTATATTTGATATACAGTACTTATGAATACAAAATAATTGCTCCAGAACGAATTAATCCAAGTCCTAGGCAACCTTCTCAACTTGTCTTTTCACAGCTTGGAATCCTTTTCTAACCTCTTTTGGGCCTAGCCATGTTCCCCTAAAAGTTATCCATATGATTAAAGTTAATATTAAATATTATTTACGCAACACATCCTTCCAAAGAAAATAAACTCAATAGACATACTTTAATAAACTTTTCCAATATAGAGGTGGTAGAAAATATTTCTTCATGAGGTACATGCTATAACGCTCCTAAAATGCATCATAGAAACGTGCAGAATGACACCTTTAGTTGAGCATCTAATAATCAGTGATGATATTTCCTAAAATCATTTATTTTATAACTTACTTCACTCTGATCAAATGGAAAGGTTTCCAACGGTTGGTTATCGTAATCAAATTCTGCCAGGATAAGCTTGCTATTGCCAGTAACAAGCGGACAAGCAGCGTAGCCGTCATACTAGTAACGGAATATTGATATCATGAAGGATATACTCAAATTCAAATGAGCCATTTCCGATATAGTAATTACTGACTGAATCAATTAGTTACACTCCTTCAAAACGCATGATGTCCTAATAATTATGGACATTGTGTGCATATTGTTTCGTGTATGCATGAATTAATATCATTAGCATACTATAAAATAGAGTATCATGTTATTAATGTGAATTTATATGACAATCCTCGTATAACTCTTAGCTAACCTTGGGTTTCAATGGTGTGCCAGCTACGCTTGCTTTCAAATTTTTGTATAATGCTCGTAGTTGAGCAGCTACTGCTGCGACAGTTTTACCATTTGGAGTGTTAGTGCAATCGCCAATACCGAAAACATTAGGGTATCGAACATGCTGAAGTGTATGCTTATCAACATCGACATAACCATTCGAATCCGCTAACTCACTATCTTTTACGGCCTCTTGAGGTCCCATCGGTGGTGTTACGTGTATAAAATCGTATGGAGAATCTTCTCTTTTTCTATTCTCGCTTGACAAATCCTCGAAAGTCGCTATTTTCTTTACATGATCGATTTTGACTAAATTACGTTGGTAATTACGAGTTAAATTACGCTCGTCACATATCTGATTTAATGCATCGGCAAATTTTTTAACCCCAAAAAGTACACCTAAGGCCGTATAGTATTGGATGTTGATGTTATCTCGAACTCCCTCCTAAGTTGAAAGCATTTAAAATTATAAAATGCTTCAATAGAATTAAAAACACCGTTGTTTTATAGCCACTACTGGATCTTGATAAAATTAAAACTGATAACATAAATTTTTTATATTACGGCAATAGATAAAATTGAATTATTCTTGGATATTAAAAATATCTAATCATCCAAAGTACTGTAGGCTTCTACTGTTTGCTTATATAATATACTAAAGGATATAATACATTTAGATTAAGAAGTATGAACAACTCGTAGAAGAAACTGTACATTTGAAACAGCAGATCATTTCCTTTTAATACTGACAATTTGAAAATTCGTATAACAGCTACAAGTTCTTACATTTCTCCAATGAGCATCAGCTAAATACATAATTTTCTGCGGTGCACCAGCACATTTAATCGGAGGAGTTGGAAAAGTAAATAAAGCATTTCCTTTGGTCATATTTTTCATGTAGTAATAAGTGTTGCGCACATACTCAGGTGAATAGTTGGTACAAACGTTGTCACTATATTCTAGAGCTTCCGTTAATCCTTCAACCTGATAACATTATCGAGAGAAAGCTTTCACTCGGTATGAATACAGCTCGCTTAATATATTGATTGAGTCACGAGAATAGCATGAACAATTAGAAAAGTAAGTATTCTGAGTAAAGAAGTGCACATAAAAAGATTAGCCCTAACTTGTGACTAACGTACAAGGTACATTTAATAAGGAGAATGTTCAGTACTGAATGTTATTCTGTAATCTATTCATTTTGAGCAGCCTAAATTGTATTGTGTTAAATGATCTAATATTTCATCCCATCTTGTATACATATTTAAACCGATTATTAGATTTAGAGCAAAAGTGCAAAATACAAAGTGCTACCTTGTCATAGTTGAGAGCAATACCGGTTGCCATGACCAAGTACTCATAATGAACCTATTAGAAATAGGTAAGAATTGTTTAAGAGTATTGTTGTTAATATTACTACGATAAAGGGTCGATTTGAATGAAATAGTAAATAAGATATTATTATTGGTAAACACAATATAAGACCTGATGTCCATCGCCAGTCACCAAGCAGTTTTGTTTGGGTTGAAATTCTTTGACTTCATCTTTTAATAGTGTACAACCTGGTGGTATCAGGCTATCTGTTGCATTCGTACATTCTGGCAGGTCTGCTAAACCACCACCAACTAAGGTAAATAATGGCTGATAGTAATGAGTCTATAAAACAAATGCTCTGATTAGTAATTCAGTTACAGCAGATTTATGGCCAAATTAGCTAAATTTTAAGAAATCTGAGTTAGAGTAAAAATTGACACTATTTTAGCGATAGTCTATTTCGCGTTTCTGCATATCATGCCAACTAATAAAAGAGGTCTGCTTATAATTGCATTTCAGAAATTCTTGGTATAGTAAAAGATGCAAGATGAGTAATTCAAGGTATTGCATGGTGTGATCAGTATATTATGACTTTCGCAGCAGGGCCACAATTTGGAGATGGTAGAAAACAATCTCTAATAAAGTACAGTACATATACACGGGATTCTGTTATAAAATTAATTATAAAACAACTGATATCTGGCTATAAAACCCTTACTCCGTATCAATGTGGTCAATATTGGTGATGAGCGTAGAGCCTTCTTGTCAGTTTAATTAAAATAATACGGTAATGAATATTTACTATTACTTAATTTGTTATTTTATGTAACATATGGCGCATTTAATTGCAATCGTTTACCAGTCTTTTGAACTAGAGACTCGCAACCTGGAAAAATAGAATAAATTGACGTAAATAATATTTATAATTACACGATCCTTAAGGCATTCTTGACCGGCGAAGCTTAAGATTGCCTATGATGCCATAAACGTACGCTCACATTACTCAGCAGGAGGGACGCATGATTGCAACATTGGATCTCGCCGCGATACGATACTTGTGAAATTTAAATTTTAAGCTACAAATGGACCCCTTCTGATCTCATACTAGAACTTTCTTTAGCTGAATACCGGATTGCTGCTACGCCGCTGTGTAAAATATAATTTATACAGTGACTCAGATTGCATCTTGTATTTTAATGAACTCGCGTGCATACCAGATTGCCTAATTTAGTTTAGTTTGATGTAGCAATAGTAAATTTGAATTCATTACTGGAAGTGGTCCGGATACTACAGTACCATGATATTACTGCTAATGAATAATTTAATAATACGCCCATATGCATAAATGATATCGTATTACTATTCTTATTATCATTTACTACACAGTTATCATATCAGTATTAGTCAATCGGAAAGTTGAAATAGCGCCAACATCTGGACGGTACTAGTCAAGGATAGATTGTATTCTGTTCCATATTTTAGCTTCATTTTATCGTACTGGTATCTACTGTAAATTAGCTGAAAGGCTCGTAGAGACCCACAATCGTAATTGGAGTCTGTCCAAGTTTACTGCACCGATAGCATTGCAAGGCATACCATTATTATATGCGATATCATTGCAAAATCTTAATCTACATCATCAGAAGACGGATACTACGTGTCTGTAAGCTACATACTTTAGCTTCATTTCATCGTACTGATATCTACTATGCAATCGCGGAAAGGCTCGTAGGTGCGCAAGATTGTAATTTAGGGTTACAAGAGCTTACTGCACCTGCAGAATTGCAAGCCATATTATCCTATCATAAATATGCGATCTCATTACAGAATCTTAATCTGCATCATTGGGAGGCAGATAACATATAACCTAATGGATAAAGTGTGCTATACCCGTTTACATTGATGGACGCTCTCATAACGTGGCGGCTAAGTTACTCAATCTCATGTTGTTTATGTACATTAATCTCAAAAGTTAAGCTAGATGCTGGCAAATGTTCGCTGTAACTGGGGTGCGTAGATTGTAATTCATATTATGGTATTACTTTATGCTATAGGTGAATAGGAAATTTTTTGCTTGAATCAAGATATACATTAATTAATTAATCGTACGATTAATCAATGGATGTACGAGCTGTAATTAGAATGAACTTTATTTAGCCTCGATAATAAAGCGAATAATTCATTTCTTGAATGAATTGGATCATGATTCCTACACTAAAGGATCGCGTTACCATCGATTAATTAATTAGCGACGTCCGTTGAATGAATCAAGGTATACGAGACAAGACTTGGAACCTACAAAATTAAGAGAACGGATAATTCCTACTATCGGTATAACTACAGCTGTGAATGATTGTACTACCACGCATCATGAGTTGGGATTGTCGATGTATCTATGATATATATAACATTTATTGGCCTTGATCCTAACGTTTTCCACGTCTAATTATGAATGCTATGGTTAACATCATAAAGGTTGTAGGCACTGAATTGAAGAGTTTTATAAGCAATGTAATGCTTAATAAAAATGGATTATGTATGATCTGAACCAAGGGTGGTAGTAAGCATGCTTTCATCGAATTCATTCGTTCTCAATAGACAAAAAAGATCCGTCTTGACACAAGACATCCTTATTGCATCATGCTTAGACGCCATGGCCACTGTATCAGAATTGGCAATTTGTTGAGAGCTGCTGTGAGTTGTGAGTCACTGTCGAAGGTTACTGCAGCCATAAGCAATGTCATCTTACTTCTATTATCGCTACATCATTCTTATTCTTACTCTAAATTAATATAAAATTACTATCCATGGCTCATGATTGAATAGTAGCTAATCATTGGGAGATTAATAATATCATTATTATTATTGTTGTTATTATGCAGGTAAGGAAGTCGGTGCGATGATAAGTCACGAGTAGACTCGATATTGTTGGTCAATAATAACTTTAGATCATTCACTGAATACAACATAAACAGCTAATGTAATAATGTACTTATTCTATGGGCTTGATGGAGTATTGTACCTATCTCAGAAGCATAGATAGTAAGATAGTAATGTAGCTGCCAATTTTCTTGTAATAATGTATTGCTTTGCGTCGAATAAGTACCCGTTGATTTGAACGGGAAATTTACTAGTACAAGTAAGTAATAATAATAATAACGTCATCATCAATATCGATCGCTATGCTGATGCAACATCGTGATCCTCTATTCATCAAGTGGCCATATTGGATATCTACTGATGTAATCAGCCATGCAACAGCTAATCACTATCAGGCCAAATCGATTCCTATTACAGTATTATGGCTGGCCTAAACAGCAACAGCATGACCCACTTACCGACGATGGCTCGATAATAACGACTTTTCCTTTGCCATATTTCTTTGCAAGTTTCGCTGCAATGGCGATACCACCACTGCCACCTCCAGCAATTGCAAAACGATAGCGATAATTCTCTAGCTGAATTGATGTGGTTTTGATACCTCGTTTACTGACCAAATCCAACAGTGGCCGTGAATTGGATGCTAATTTCAATCGATTACCAGCCATCATCTTGGCCATCTTTCATCAAGCTGCTACGAGACTGAAATGATCAAAGTGGTCGCTGCGGTAACACCACGGTCACCTTTTAATACTGTATTCTAACCACGTGCAAAGTGAACGACTGCCCACTTAGGCTAGGTCTTGATTAAAAGCCTAGCCGTACTGGCTTGACATGGTGACAATTATTTTGCACACTGAGCTGCTCGTGCCGGCCTGTCCCCACAAATTGCAGTGTCATGGTCATGCTAGATCAAATATCGTCTACCTTTCTATAGAAAACGATACAGTCTTGAGGCATGTACCAGTAGGTACGCACTTCACTCCACCCTGAGCTGAGCTTCTGGTCGTCCAGCTCCTGCTCCACTTTGCATCATATCATGTCAGGGTTAATCAACTCAGTGAGTGAATGTGGCATTTTTTGCATGCTCTGAGTTAAAGTCTAACCTGATCCTAACTTCAAAGGTAAAAATTCCGTCTCAACATAGTTCAAATGACTAACCAACGAGAGGAAAAAATTGGAACTTTACCATTGCCACCAGCTCCTCAACTACCATAGATCAATATGAGTCACGGATAATGCTTTGCGTATCATCACAGCGATCATACCTGACGTAGGATGCTGACACTGACGGATGCATTGCCAGCTGGACAGACTGACTGATGGTGGGAGTGGATTCGTCATCGTATTTCATCGTTGCAGTGGAGACTAGAGAAGAGGAAAATCCAGACGAGTTTGTCTGCAACTAGCTAAGCCATAGCCAGTATTTGAAGAAGATAGACAGTAGATTAGACAGATAGAGAGAGCAAAGTATCGATTGAGGTCTCATTTCCTTGATTTGGTCATTATTATCCTAATATCATTGAGATACAAGCAGCTTGTTCATCTTCTCTTTCCACTATTCTCCTTGATGGCTGCCTATAGAACTGCAATATTTCGTCATCCATGGCGATCGTTATTTTGCAGACGTTGGTATCATCGATCGGCTAGTTTAACTTGTAATCAGAAAACTATCAATATGCCACAAGTTGAAATACCTCCTTTAGATCATTTAGATACAAGTGATCCTGTATTTGAAGGAAATACGAGTGATTTCCCCTGTTTGCAAAAGTAGGTCTCTAATCGATGTTGGTGTGTAGAACTTTTAACCAATGACAGACTGTACAGAGAGACAAGTTGACATTGACTCATCAAAAAAATGACTTTGTTAAGGATTATTTTCATCGTAGCAAATGTTTATCCTGACATCATGGATCAAACGCTAGCTTGCCTATTGAATACAGTAGGATGATAGTCTTATCAGGGACTAGTCCCTCTTTACAGCATATCATGGCTTGTAATGTTATTATCATCAGTTTATCAGCTGCTGATTTTGCCACTCGTCTACATCATAGCTGGCATACGTACGCCATACGAGGTCTCACCAAGCGTTTTCGATTTTAAAATTTTGAATTGATTGACTAGGCATTTATTATAGCTGGATAACTTTCCATGCATTTGGATGCTTGCTGTCGATTTGATGCTGGTTTTCTAAAGCAGCCACCGACAGGCATAACTGCTTGAAATACCATAGTCTACTTGTTTAAACTCTTCCTCTCATCAAAAAAAAAAATTACTGCAGAATGATGATGCAATCTTTTTGTTGCTATGACTTCCATCTGCAATTTCTCCCGGCAATTGGAGAAACTCTTTCCTTTTGACACTGCTTGGACGATTTCTTTCGAGTAGTAAAATGACTCTAACAATAATTAGTCTTGCAGTAAAGTGACAATTTACTTAGTACGTATCAACCATATATATATAAATGCAGCATAATTAATTCTTTAAAGTTACTACTTACCTAGAAGATACTGGTATCTTTTGCTATTCTAATATTATGTAATACCGACTTTGATTTACGTACTCTAGTCTCTAACTTACAGCAATTAGTAGCTCTTATAACTATTGTAGATTTAAACCGACAAGTTTCCTAGCGCATATCAATCTTTGATATTCTACTCTTATGGACGCCGACTTGAATTGACGTGGTCTAGCTCAGCATTCCTGTCTCATTCTACTGCGCTTACTATATTTATACCAGCTAACAATATATGGCAGTCATCAATGGTTCAATCTTGCTAGATTACTTGTGCATAAACTTCTAAAACTTTGCTTCTTATTAGAATTATCGATAACATATTCCAGTGTTCATAGAGCTTGTAAATAAAGCACTCGTACTAATGGCATATCATTAATTTCCCCTTCTTTTATACGCTGTCAAGATTTGCGCCCGGCCCGGAACCTAACTACGAGCAACTACACGATGGTTACGAGGTTTTTCGCTACGACAACGTATTTAAGCTAAAACATGGCGTCCTACCCAAAATGCAAATTGCTTACGAGACTTGGGGCACACTCAATGAACGTAAAGATAATACAGTTTTACTGCAAACTGGCATTTCCGCCTCCTCACATGCCAGAAGTACTGAGGTAAGTTTGCTTTGTTTGTTAATCAATTGTCTATTCAGCGCTGAATTTAAGGTATTGCAAGCTTTCTGGCAGTGTATACCGAATGGAGCTTCCTAATATCCATCGTTAACGTAGGATTCATTCATTCTATATCATTTTATAATTATGAATACTGAAGAAAAATCGACGGCCCGGCTGGTGGGAAGATTTTATCGGACCTGGAAAAGCTGTCGATACAAACAAATTCTTTGTTATTTGCACTAACTTGTTGGGTGGATGTTTCGGATCAACGTAAGTCATATAGCTCAGACTGTGATTTATTGCCCATTGCATCATATATACTGGTTAGTCATAATCTTCCTCAGTTAACTGAGTGAACTAACATTATCAGAGATGTATAACTGATAAACCTACAAAATGTAGAGGCGAATAAATAATTCAATTCGTCTGTCGATGATGGTAACATAGTCCAATAAATTCAATTTTTCTCTATCTATTCGTTTAGAGGGCCTTCTTCTATCAATCCAATCACAGATTCTGTATGTTATTATCCTTTCTAATTGCAATAAACAATCCAAGTTATATCTTACGGTCATAACTATTTTTACAGCATTATGCAACTACCTTCCCTATTGTAACAATTCCTGATGCTATCCGAGCGCAATTTTTATTATTAGATCACTTAGGAATAAATAAGGTAGGAATTTCAAATCGATACACTCTTATGTTTAAGATATTAATAATCAAGCAAAATTGATTTCGCTTATGGACTTATAAAATGACGATATGTTGCATTACAGATTCATGCTGCGGTTGGTTCATCAATGGGAGGAATGCAGGCTCTTGCTACAGCTGCGTTATATTCGGATCGTGTTAACAGGTCAATAAAATCACAATCATAGCATGGACATTGTAGATGAAAAGAATCATAGCTACTGATATAACTCGTAGATTTACTCTAAAAATCCATAGCAGAGCTAAGAGCTAGCATTTAATAATTATACTATTTTTACAATCATAGCGTTTGCATCGTAGATGAGAAAAATTACCGTAACTGATATAGTTTATAGGTTTACTCTAAAAGTCCATGGTAGTGCTGAAAGCTAATATTTAATTATTATACTGTTTTTAATTACTGTAGAATTATTAGCATTTCTGGTTGTGTTAAACCGACACCTACAGCTATTGCCCTACGTTACCTTCAACGACGTGTTTTAATGACAGATCCAAACTGGAATAGCGGCTATTATTACAATGGAATCTTTCCTAAAAGAGGAATGAAATTAGCAAGGTATGGAGTGTATTTTAAGCGTTACTTGAAGACATGATAGTAATAATAATAGTATATCAGTATACGTATTTGTTATCCTGATACTTAAATTGCTATGTGGATATGCTATATAGAGAGATTGGTACTATCGGATATCGTAGTGGACCTGAGTGGGAAACTCGCTTCGGTCATAGGAAGAGAACTGAGGAACCCAGCTTTTGCCCGCAATTTGAAATTGAAGAATACATAGAACATCAAGTACGAATAATACCTTAGCGTATTTGATAGGGTATCATTTTATTTACTGATAATCTAATGGTAACTGTCTCTTTGCGCTAACGTATAATTAGGGGGAAAAATTTTCTCTTACTTATGATCCGAATACTCTATTATATCTATCCAAGGTTTGGAAAATGATTTAATAGTCACATTGAGTCTGATATAAGTATTAATCTGTTATCTTAATTAACACCATTAATAAATTAGGCAATTGATCTGTTTGACATTGGAGAAGGCTTTCCTTCAATGGTTGAAGGAGTAAAACGAATTATTTGTCCTACCCTTGTTAGTTTTCCGACTATCTATCATTTTTTTTATATATATTTTCTTAAACAGCAGTTTATTAACGCATATTTGTTGCGAAACGTATTGTCTATAGGTTATCGGCGTGAAAACAGATATTCTATTTCCTATACAGCAACAGACCGAAATTGCGGATTTACTTAAACAAGCGGGTAAGACTAGTTTTATCTCAAATTTAACAAACAAAAATTCACGGATTGGTCTCTCCTTAAAATATTAGGCAATCAAAAAGTTACTTATTATGAACTGAACTCGATATATGGTCATGACACTTTCCTATTAGATATTAATAATGTTGGTGCAGCAGTTAAGGTAGAAGCCCAAATCATAGTAGAATAGGATAATTCTATTTTCAGACAATTGCTACAATAAAGATCCATTCTTTTAATGTGTAGGATTCAGTTGATGCAAACTTTGTTATTATATCAATTTTTGATTGCTGTTATAATCCTTCTTCGTAGGGCCACCTGGAAAGTCAACTGTTTTAGAAGAACACCTTGATTAGAAAATAAGGAGAAATGAAGCACATGTTGTCTTTCTGGCACATTCTGTAATTGTTGGTGTAATTTCATTTCTGATATATGACATGAGCGTATGGACTTGTAAACTAAAGAGATCGATTAGACCTTTGGTATTTTAGTTTTATCCGAATTTACAATCTATTCCTGTTGTATTAGGAATTCTTAGTAAATACACGGTTTGAGAGATGACTTTGTCATATGAGATTTTGCCAGGTCTAATGTTGCTCTTCAATGTAATAGATATTTTATGGAAGCACAAATTTATTTGGTATATAGCATAGATCGATGTAGTCATGGTATGGGAACATACCAATAAAAACGTATGAAACGGAATTTGTTGTAGTAATAAGTTGCAATGATTTGCTATCGCTTTCATGCATATATTTAATAATACGCATAAGCATAAGTAGAGGGAACTGCCTTACTATACAGTATTGTAATCGCCAGGATAGTAAATACGTATATTGCCATACTTAAATTGTTATGTTAATCGCATAGTAAACAAGTTTTTATTAATCCCTGAGCATTTTTATAGGTTTCATCTGTACTCATGTACGTTTTGTTTCATTACGTATTGAACTTCCATATAAATAATGAGGATGTACTGTAGTATATTACCTACAAGCTAAATAAATTTTTGCAAATATTGACCAATAAGACTAATCTATAACAACGCGAGTATACCATGTTGATATAGAGCATTCATTCAGTTAAATGGATAGTTGGCTCGTCATTTCTCGTCCATTTAAACAAATCCTGTCGTCAATAATTAACAACTATTGAAGCATTTTTATATGCACACAAGCGCTACGGGCATTAATTCAATAGAAAGTATTTTAAGACTTCGTGAAGCTAGCTTTCTTCAACTGCAGAACCATTTAGTATAATTCCTTTAAATGATTTAACATCAGAACTCTCAGTATAGATGCATCCATCTCCAAATAATTTGTTGGATAGCATACCAAATTAATTTTAACTGTTTAGATAAAATAGTTTAATAAGTTGATAATATCGATTCTTAATATAAAATTTAGCTCAGACGTTGCACGATTAATGGTGATAGTCTCCTTATATATGATTAGTAACAGCTACCTTTATGGAATTGGATGCTTATCTAGTACTGCTGTGGCGATTGCACAATACGATGAGCGCTACAGCAGCAAAGTCTCTACTTCATGGCAGAGTCCATCATATGTGATAAGAACTTTACTGCTATAATTGTCATTTGTAAACCGAACTTAATTGCAATAGTAGTAGCATTATATGTTAGTTCTGCAGATATTACAGCTCCAGTTTATTGTAAAGTCCGCTAAATAAAGCAAGAATTTTACAGCTATAATTATCATATCAAAGCAGAAATGTAGATTATTGTTCTTTTACTGACTAACTTTACAGTTATAGCGTAAAAAATGTAAGTTATGCAACTACGTAAATTAACAACTATGCAATATGCAGGGTAGCGCTTGTATATTACAGTGTTATACTATATTGTTTTGACCGCATCAGATTCGCTAGCATTAGAGCAGCTACTTTAGCTAGTAGACAAAAAAATCTATTAAATATATATGCAATCGTATCTTAAAAATCAGCTAGCCGATAAGGTCAATGATAACGGATATATGCAATCATATCCTAACTGGTATACTATTTTGATATCATCAGTTTGGTTAGTATTATAACAGTTGCTTTAGATAGTAGAAAATTCTAACAATAAGAAATACACGCAATCACATCCAAAAATAAGCTAGTATACAAAGCTAAACAATTATTGATACATGCAATCATTATTATGTTCGTGGTAAGCGGTGTAGGTTCAATTGAGAATCGTTTATTAATAAATTTATGAAGGTATTCATACATTTGCTAGATTACTTCACTTATGGTTTAGCTAAATGATTATCCATATAAGATGTAAGATTAGCTTAAAATGATAATTACATAATTAGAACGTTAATCATTTTGAACTGTAATTCTACAGTACGACTTTTAATCATTCTATATACTGTATAATACTACTTTACAGTATGCTGTATATGTAATTGCTCCATATATAACAATCATATTCTAATTTTGAGCTAGTCTTAAGTAGCTTCCCGTGAATGCGTTCGCTGTTGAATCTCTTATAATGTATGCCCGTTGTTATACTACGAAATTATAAATTTTTTAATACTTCCATTACTCCTATCTACCAATTACATCATGAGCCTACAACGATTCCATTACGTCATCCAGTATAGAATAATTAGCATATTATTTTTAGAAAAGCTTGAAGTAAGCATATTACCGTAGATGCATTACTGTATGGACTGCCAGTACGGTTGCAGTCTCTCATTATTATAGAATACATGTATGTAATGCCTATTTCAAGTACTGCTTCTTTATACGCCTGAGTAGCATGTGATATTTAATTGTATAGTGCTATTAGAGCGGATTGTATTTATTAGTCTACTCACGATCATTTAGTATTGCATTTTACAGTTTGTAGAAGTAGCATAACTGTAAGGCTACTTTGAAAAGCCGTAGTTAAACTCTTAATTTTTCAATACACGTGTATTAATTAGCTTTTTATCAGTATATTTAGTAAATCGCCTGAAGAAGTAAACCATGGATAGAAGAACTAGAATTACAGAAAGAAGGTTACTGCGAGGAGAAGAAAGAGCGATAACTGTACGTTTCATATTAATTAAAGAGCCCAGCAGCAGAGATGATGCATCTACTTTATTCCCTATCGAATAAAAGTGTATGACATGATATTATATACGAATACCTATTCAAGACTGTTTGAATCAAAGTATTCTACATCCCTATTATGGATTTATAAGAAAGTACTTACTTATGTTGTAACTCCGACCAACTAATCACATTCTATTTCTTATCAAGCATGTATTATATGCTTCGTCAAAATTATGCAGTACCGACATACATCTTCCCGAAGACTAATAAACTTTAGCCGTTATTATTTCGTAGACTTTAAGGACCATGATTAGCAAATAGCCTCAATAATGGTGCTTGTATAGCATTCTTTCTATCAAGAAATCGTTCCTATGTACTTTATATAGTATATGTAGTTAGTACCTCAGATTGTGTGTTGCTAATTTAATCACATAAAACTACTGTAAATTAAATTTAGTGTTAGGAACTTGATCCAGTAGATCATCATAGTTATACGTATAAACATATATAAGTGTAATTTTTAATATCATTTTGGTGAACCGGCACAAGTAAAAAATTGGGTCATAATCGTGCTAGAATTAGTTTATAAGAGCGTGTGGTATACAATAGAGCAAATCGGGAATATATTTCTTTTAGGGTTTATACTGATTCAAATTGATATCAAATACGCTGTATGATATTCTAGTATATAGCCGGTAATATAATCAACTTGGATATTAATTAATATCTACCCCAATGAATTCACTTGTATATCAACTACTACTTTCCTCTATTCTAATTAGCAATATTTAAAAACAATCGCATGCTTGCAACTTACATATTGGATCATTTACCATAATTTAAGATACATATATATCTACACAAACTATAATTGATTTACTATAAAGTACAGTAATATAGTAGTCAATGGATATTGAAGAAGTTTATTTAGCAGCTCCACTGTGGCGAAAAGTATTAATTGTAGCGTTTTAAAGAATAAAATAATTTTCACTTCTATCTTACAAAATATCATATAGTAGGATTTATCGATGGTTTTATTATTAATAAAGAAAAATTTTATGAAAGGTAGACTAAATAATTATTTTTAAATTATCTTCTGTAGAGGCAAATAAGACAGACAGAAAGAGAAATAAGATACCAAAACAGAGCTGAAAGGGCCGCACTAAGAGGTCATTACCACGTTGCCCAACGCCTAGAGGTAAATATATTAATTTGCCACTTTATAGTTGTAAAATCCTGATTGACTATTTATAGAAATAAGTAATTAGATACTATTCATCAATGTTAGGTATACGTGCATATAACTATTGTGTTCTAAGAAATAGTGCAACTTATCAATTAATCAATTTCATCCAATTAACTATTCAAATTTTAAACATCACATTCAATAGCAAAAATCGGAAAAGGCTCATAATCGTGCTGAGATTTCTAAAGTTAAAGGCCAAATGTATCATAATGCTCGCGAAGAAATCAATATCAGGAACAGACCAGGTATGCACTCTGGGCCAACACCTGCCAATCCTCTTGCGACTGGAGCTTATCCTCAGCATCAAAGCTATCCCAACCAATCGGTACCTACAGCACCAGGTATGCTTCCGCTGCAGCATATCCACCAGCAAATAATCTGATATATAGCACTAGTGCAGTTACTAATTAGATTCTTCTAGCTTTCCTGGTTTATTGCCTTATTTTGTTCCTTCTATTTATCCACCGTTAGGCATTTCAGTTTCGCAACCATCTGGTAATCATGCTGCGGCAGTTTATCCTACTCCTACCAATTATCCATCTCCTAGTATTCCAAATGTCCAACCATCTTACGATGGCATAGCTATCTATCCTCCATCATCATCTATTCCTTCGCAAATTGGCTCTAGTGAATCTAAACCTCCAATTTATCCGCCACCCTATGCACCCTAATTCCACTAGGTACAAAGCAGCGGAATGAAGTTGTTGGCCACCAATGAATGTGAAATATCATCAAGTACATGGTTTCAGTGGTTCAAACTTTTGATGTCATAATTACACTTATATTATTAGATACTCTTTCATAAGTCTGACCATTTGTATATACGCATATTTTTCAATATATTATATATAATCAAGCATATAAATAATTGTTATTTCAGTCTGTAAAACTGAATACACCAAGGCGTTATTAACTTATTCCTTTTATTGATAGATTGTGCGTTTGAAAATATATTACTAACATTAAATAATGTCTTCAATATTACAATACTTTGCTAAGACATGTTTTAGCTAAATAGCCATTTTAACAAATTATTGAAATCATTCTCGATTATGTTCGAACAACTATAGAAAATATAGTACGTTCGATTGTTTCATTATTATCTAAATAAATGATTGGAAAAACACTTCTATATCGTACTAATAGATAGACTATTCCATACAATAAAAGATAGTAAGCCATCCTTATAATTGCAGATATAACTTAATCTAAAATTTAGGGCCATTTGAACATTACCATATCACTGGGACCTACTAACTCCTGGAATTCTTTCTTGAATAGACTGAATTATGCACTATCGTCAATAATAACAAGCATCATTATCATCCAAATGATGAAAATCGTGATGGAATAAAACGCCATCTAGAACTCTAATCTGATACTTGTAATAAATGGGTCGGCCTTATCCATCGAATAGACGGTAGCATACCCGTAGCTTATTACGTATGTCTGACTAAAAGCTCTAATCACTGTAATCTAATTTTAAGAATTCTTCAGAATTTAGTTAATTACGCGTTAAATTAGAACATAGGAGCACCTAAAGGTATTTGCCTTAAATATCGATCCTGTAACGTCTGGTACTTTGTTTCTTTATTAGAAATTACGAACGTACACTATGGCTACCACTTTGATCATACTTTACTAATAAAGGAAAACTTTAATCTACATTATACTAACATCAATAAGAGATATTATCAAGATGCTAGCATAACTTATCTATAACCTTTCATAGGAGCAAGCCTTGACTTATTATTACGTGTAGAGTACACTCTTTATAATAGTGTAGGATACTCTATACCTTATCATTTAAAATTTGGAATCAGTTCTATCAATTTTTATACAAACAGTCAAATTTCTAGTAAGTATTTCTGCCTGCTAGCTCGATATAATACAATCATTTAATCATAAATTTAGCGAGATCAACTACTAGCCGAAATGCAAAACCTATCTATCCGATTTGTAACTGGCATCTGCCCGTTGTAATAGCCTATCAACCATAATAAAAATCTTAATACATGGGATTGAATGCTGTAGCATTTATAGTGGATAACAGCCGTTCTAGCACTGAATGAACGATATAAATGAGGTAGAAATGATTCTATTGTTTGGCATCATTGCGGCCAACAGGCTGGTAAAGAACGAGTAGCGATGGGCCCCAAAACTGAATAGCTAATCTGGTACCGATACATTAGCTAGCACAAGCTATAGAACTACCAAGGCTATGGAGGGGCAGACTAGTTTAATGCTAATGGCAATCACTGATATCATCGTTGTTGAATAAATTAATTATTAATTAAGCTGCCAACGAGCGTCAAAATTTAGACATGCATACATAAACGTGGAAGCTGCTGGTTTAATTCTCCAATAATTACCGAAAGGGAATTCTTCTATTCAACCCAACGCAATTAACCGACAGCCTATAGAAAGATAAAAATGGATCACAATATAGCAAAATTAATAAAAAAAGAAGGAAAAGAAATGGCTGTAAGTATTACATTTATAATATTGCATACGTTCTATTTGTAAAATAGCTTAAAAACACAGCTTGAAAAGGAGATTTTCCATCTTTGGCAATATGCTGGCGTAGACAGTAGCTTCCATTAAATGGAGTCGATTAACCATGATTGTCACGATATTCTGTTGCGAATAGTCTCCTTCTGCTCTATCGCGTTCGAAATTCCCCTTGTGACGCCTAGATTAGTCTGCAGTAAGGGAAAACATAATTTACCGTTAATCATAAACTGGTAGTAATTATACAAGCAATCGTAATTTAATAAGCCATGGAGTACGGCCATTGATGATTTGAAATGGTAAGGTCCATTAGTTTCAAGTGAAAAGAATATTAATACTCGTACATTACTGCTACAACATTAAAACTCACTGCTAAGGCTTGTACACTGTACAGAATATTGCTAATGTTGCAATCGCATTCACTTAGCAATTGATAAAATACCATGCTAATCTATGAAACAGTTAACCCCCGTTGGCTTGGAGTGAAAAGGATGCTAATAGAGCTCTACAGTACAGCCCCGAAACTAATCGATAAAACAAAGAGTATTAGAGATGGTGCCATTGCGTCGAAAATGATATTATAAATGATGGCATGAAGTCATTAATTCTGTTGGTTTATAGACAATATGCAAATGGGACAGTACTTAAACGAATCGATAAAACATAAAGAGTATTAGCTATGATGCAATCTTACTAACTTAGTGATTCGACCTAAGATCATGATATAAATCCTTATGTCAAATGATTACCTATATTCATTTTGAGCGAAAAGAACACCGATGTAGGACTCCTACAGTACGAAACTAATCTATGAAGCAAGTACTCGTTGTATAACGGATAGGACAATCGTATTAACTTAAAAATTCGATCCTATATCACGATACTCATCACTATTCACTACGTTACGAATAACTCTGTACAATTTTGAGCCAAGAATAGATCACTCCTACAGCATAAAATTAATCAAAGAAGCATATAGTGCAGGATTAGTGCAATCGTGTTAATTTTCAAATTCGATCAACTATCTTAACATTAATCACTACGTGGAACGATTAACTATATTAGACTTGAAAGGGAAAATATACTAATAGAACCACTTAGATAGCATCTAGAATAGGGAAAATGTTGTAGAGGAAAAGTATATTGTAACTGTTGTAAGATCCATGTTGAGAATGGGCAATGCTATGTCCTATAATCAGCCCAATAGTCCTTATAAAAAAGCTATTTAAAAGACTTTTACCGTTGTGTATTCGAGAGGCTAAAACAACTAACTCATGTACTGTAAATTAATTCTATGCTCTGTCATGGCTACAGTTTATGATACCTTAGCACTATAACATCATACTAGAAAAGCACATTATCCATAACAGCACACTATACTCATGAAGGTAGTTATCACAATTTTACGTCGATATAAAGCCGAATTCGTTTATAATACCTGTACCCAACTAGATAAATCTGAACTATGGTAGTTTGCCCGAACCAAGGTTTCCACTATTATTAATATTGTACTCGTCTCTACAGTCATCTTATATTACTATGCTAATTGCTACCGTAATGAACTACAATTAACAGTTCTGTCCTAAATTTAAATGATAAATTAATAAAACGACTAGACAGACTGCTTCTGTAGCTACAAATACCGTACAACTGATCGCCTGATAGACTAATGTTTCCAATCGAAATGTTAACTAGACGGCCAGCAAAATTCGTTATTGCTAGTATATAAACACCAATGATACTTATGCAACTTAAAGTAGGACCATTAATTAATTCTAGCCTTCGTTAATAATCATACCTCTGAGTTACGCTAACGTTTAAGATCATCCAAAGATATTCGTATGTCATCTCTTTTACGCCTAGAACCACCATCGCAAACATGACAAAGATTCTATAGAACTAATTTCTTACCCATTTCTGGCAGATAGACTCGTGCAAATATTACTCAACACTAATATCTCAAACATCCTAATCTTACTAATGCTAAACAGAAACTAGCCAAGCAAATGCAAAAGGAAGAAAAACTTAACATCGAAGCTGCCGCTGCTGCAAGTAGAGGTAACTTTCAAAAAGCAGAGCGTTTGCAGGTAAATGGAATATACTATTGATTTAAAGTAATAACCTCTAACTTTTACGTTTAATTCTCGTAACAGTGATGTTGAAGTAATCATTACCTTAAACTATATTATTTATTGACTTGATATTCATAGTTTTGCCGTCCATATAACTACCGGTACTGAACATTTCGATACATTAGTTGATGCTGGTAGAATTTGTTAATGTAGTCATGCTGTAGGAACAACAAATAGACAATTTGCTCCTCGATCATTTCTTTTCGTTTATAGCGTCATAAAGACTTTCTAAATTTGTTACTTACTATGCCGTATCTAGATGAAATCTGCCAAGATTCATAATCGCGCTGAAGCCTCTGAATTACGGGGTAAAATGTATCATAATGAACTAATGGGAAAGCATGGAATGAACTTTCCTGGTATTCCAGGTACGCCGTCATCAGTCAATCCAGTGGTTCCAGCGCCAGTAGGGGCTTACCCACCCTATCAAGGCAATCCGAGCAATTTTGGCATGCATGCACCTACTACACATCCTCAACATAATCCTTTAAATCAGAATTCTAACTTTGCACCACCTACATCCTCTGTATATCCACCAACAGCAGGATCTGTAGGAAGCCAACCATCGCCTGGAGTAGCGCCAAGATATCCGCCATCATCAGCGGCCATTCCGGAGCAACAACCACCTCCCAGTTCTATGCCTAATCCACAACCTTCTGTGCCTGGAGTATATCCACCACCATCAGAAGCAATCCCTGGACAACAACCACCAGGTAATTCAATGGCTAATCCTCCATCCTATGGTGCCTCTTCTTATCCGCCATCTAGTAACCCTTCCGCTAGCACTTATCCATCATCTTCTATTGCTCAACCGCCTTCTTCTACTGCTTATCCGCCTTCAGGTACCGCTTATCCACCATCTTCTACTGCCCAATCGCATCCTTCTACTGCTTATCCACCATCTTCTACTGGTTATCCACCTTCGGGTACCGCTTATCCACCATCTTCTACTGCCCAACCGCATCCTTCTACTGGTTATCCACCTTCAGGTACCGCTTATCCACCATCTTCTACTGCCCAACCGCATCCTTCTACTGCTCAACCGCATCCTTCTACTGGTTATCCACCTTCGGGTACCGCTTATCCACCATCTTCTACTGCCCAACCGCATCCTTCTACTGGTTATCCACCATCTTCTACTGCCCAAAAGCATCCTTCTACTGGTTATCCACCTTCAGGTACCGCTTATCCACCATCTTCTACTGCCCAAAAGCATCCTCCTACTGCCCAACCGCCTCCTTCTACTGGTTATCCACCTTCAGGTGCCGCTTATCCACCATCTTCTACCGTTTATCCACCTTCAGGTGCTGTTTATCCTCCTTCAACTGCTGCTTACCCTCCTTCAACTGCTGCTTATCCACCTTCAGGTACTGCAAATCCAACTTCAACAGCGACTTATCCACCTTCAGCCCCTGCTTATCCACCACAACCACGCAATGCTTACCCGTCTCCATCCGGTGCTTATCCGTCACCTTCCGGTGCTTGCCCTCCATCATCTGCTGCTTATCCACCGCCATCTGGAGTTTCTGGATTCCGACCTTAAAGTATTCCCCACACTAGTCCGCCGTCAATAAACTAAAAGTAGACAGTCTTGTCTTGGATATCATAGACGATGCTGTAAATTGTTTTTGTAGTCAATACCAATGTAGATAGGATAACGTTCTTTTCCGACATTATTAGATCTTTAAAAACAAGACGATTCCTATTCGTCGATATGGCCGTATAATGAATGGTTCAACGATCGTTGTATTTCGTTCATGATAACACTGAATTGGAACTACAAAAATTAAAGTACTATACTGGATAAAATACCTAATTGTTTCATAGCAATTTTCATATAGTAGTTACATCTATCAAGCGTTCAAGAATAAAATATCGAATGGCTAATCATTTTGAAGGACGGCGCGACGGAAAAGCTACTGAAAGCAATCCTTCCTTCGTTTGTCAATTAAATTTATAAAAACTTCTACAGCTATAGCACACTTTTTTGAAATGGAAGAAAAATGCTATCAAGTCTTTTTAATCGCTAGAAAGTAGGAACTATAGTACACGATTTACTCGTGTATAGCAGTTCGAGCTATCAAGCGTTCAAGAATAAAGTATCGAATAGCTACAATCAATCTGAAGAACGCGACGGATAAGCTTGAGAAATGACTTCTGCCTTCATTCATAAATTAAATCTATGAAAGAGTTCTACAGCTTCAATAGTATATTTTGTTGAAATCGATGGAAAATACTATTATATCTTTTTTAAAATCCACATAAAGTAGGAATAATACTATATGGTTTACTCGTGTATAGTAGTTCGATCAGTGAAGTGTTCAAGAATAAAGCATCTATTAGCTATAATCAATCTATAGGACTGTATACGTAGCGGAAAAGCTAGAGAAATGACTCATTCCTTCATCTGGTTACTAAATTTATAAATGTTTTTTACACCTGTAGTCGTAAGCAGTGTTGAAATCGATTGAATATGCTATCATTTCGTAGTCAATCCTTGTCGAGTGGGGATATGTAATGCATGGTTTACTAGCCTATAATACTGCCGGAGAAGAATTTCAAGTTCTTCAACTGTTGAAAGTGGCTAAAATACACCGGATAATCGATTTATAGCCTCTACGATATCAATTCTATATACATAACTTAATCACAATCAAATACTACTCTACATAAGAGTCATCAATCACGTTAGTACATTGCCTAATAACAACACTTAAAAGGCTATCGACTATAGACTTATAGAACACATGGTAGATATGAGCCGTTTCATCATAGTAGCCATAACCAACATTTACTTTATTAACACATTGCCACTTTAATTAGCTGAAATCATGACCACCATATATAACTATTGCCTAAGCCGTGGAATTACAAGCTATGGGCAATCTTAGTAGTCGATGTGTTCAGTATTTAGTTGTGCTGCCTTTAAATTTTATTTCTAGCTCTTGCTATCTGCAATTTTCGACTTCGATGTATCACAGGTTAAAACGGCATTTAAAAACTCCAGACAACTGTACAGTAGATTTATACCAACAAACTACACTATCATCCATATCCTAGGGAAAACGATGCCTATAACGTTAGTAGAGTGTGTTTAGATGTTTAAGTAATCTTTCATTTCCTTGCACATTAATTTACGGATAGACCTTTGGATGAACTCATCCATCACTTCAAGTTATTCACAGTAGCAACTTCTAGCTAACGATAACCTCGTTTTAATCTCCGTACATTTAGTGCCTAGCATACTCGTATCGATTTTAGTATGGCATACGTATAGTGCGATGAATATTCCATTTATTAGGCCACTTATCATTTCAAGAATATTTCAATCTGGTTTTGATCTTCGCATGGATAGCTATAACTTTACCTGTTGTATTACCAGAGCTTCTTTGCTTCTCCTACGTGATGTTCTTCGTGAATGGCTTTAGTCTGTTTCCTCCATGCCTTCAAGTGAATTCATTCTAATCATTGTTAGCTCACAGTAATCCCGTTTTAACATACATTTCATATTTCACGGATTAGTTTTATGTATAGAATTGGTTACATCGCATATCATTTTAAAACTACAGTATTTGAATCTCGCTCTTATAGTCACACCTTTACCTATCGCATTAATTTAAAGTAACTTCATTCTGACGGTTGCTGGTTCACTGTAATCCCATTAAGCATACTGTACATTTCATATTTCGCAGATTAGATTTTATTTGTGTCTAGAGGTAGTATTTTGCTAGCTCGTTAATCATTTTAAGACTATTTGCATCTGGCGTTGATGTTTACATTGAGAATCACACTTTGATATGTTGTATTAATAAATTTTTCTTGGGTTTTCTACTCTTTACTAGCGATATTCTTCAAAAATTGGTTTTATTCATTTTCATTACGCATTATTACAACTGTAATGGATCTTTAAAGGTTCAATTAGTGCCATTGCAAATTGGCTCTAAGTCAGCTATTATCACCACAGGCCAATTATTTCATACAAGTTGGCTGGTTTTGAGGACTTCAAAGCGGAAACATGCTATTGTTGCATTGATACAAAGCAACATGTTATTCCAATTCTTCACTAATCGAAAAATTTTTATTATTCAACGCTTCAATTAGTGCAATAATAACATTGGTAGTTGCTAAAATTGTGGCATAGAAGAAGGACTACAACGTTGAATTTTTTTAAATGATTTGAAATGATTGATTATAATTACTGTATGTATTCTTATTCAATCATGACTACTCATCGAACTTCAAACAATTTCCTATACATAAAATGTGATGATCAATTACTTATTAGTTCGTATATATCAAAACTTATTATTATCCATGGCTATATTATTATACTATTCACCTTTCCCATTAGGTGTATCCTATTAGGTGTATCGGATGATATCGAAACACAAGAGTAAATTTGTCCTGAAGTAGGGATGACCCGGTTTATATTCTTACTGTAGTATCATTTTTGAATGGGATTCCAACCCTTTTAGTCGTTATAACATAATCACTAATGGCTTTTAATTTTGAATAAAACCTATTACTTCGAAATGGATATAGTAACCAATCTATCGATAAATGGAATGATATCTTTTTAATCAGATATTATAAGCGCATTTATGGATTTTACTTGTCCATCGCACGGTTCCTTTACGTCCAAGTTGAGGTAGCAAGTAATAAATGAATGAAACTACTGGTATGCCTTCTTAATTCAATATCAAAATCCATTATACAAATTTCACTCCTACACTATTAATAATGTTATTGAAATCCTTTTATTATTCTTTGTTTCTTTTCGAATTAAGATATATGTGATTACTTCATAGCGTTCAAGTCGACTATAAGAACAAATCGATTAACTAATTGCGTTGTACTATTTTTTATTAGACATGAAATACATCTAGATCTATTTCTACACGCGGTAGTCTAAATGACGACATACCCAATTTCTATTTCCAGGCTAAAGATTCAATCTATTTACTTTCCATTCAACTAGTACAAATAACAAGCTGTAGTATGTCAAAACACGATTGCCTAATCAAATAATGCAATAGTTCTAATGCTATAAGGTGATTGATTAACTAATTCTATTATACAGTCGATATGTGGAACACCAAGTTCTGTAGACATGATGTTCTATTGAAATTGAATAAACAGGAAAACAAAATTCTAATAATGAATTGAACTAATACGTATAATCCATCTTTAACGCTACTTGGAATTTTTTTTATTATAGTGATACAACGTAGAACAACCATTAGCCTGCATACAAATTAAATCCATACGAACTAATATTCAATACGTTTATTGAATAACCTACCGCTGTGCTTTCAATAAGGCAATCCCACAAAGAAAATAATTGCATCTTTATTTTTTAACCAATTCTTTTCCTTAATTGTTTCATTCTAATTGCCATCTTTCATAAAGTAGATACTAAAACCAAGGCTAAGTCTTCGTTATATTCAAAATCGATCACCTTTTTAGCAGTTATAGCAAGATTAGTAGCCATAAAATAGAGCATTTAACCCCACTGCTTGCTTAGAAGTGCCTTTATATACAAGTTCAGTCTAACAACGGTGCCTATTCAACTTAACATTGATTGCTATTCTTCAGCAGGTAAGTTAGTCCATCTTTGAAAATGTTTGCAAGATAACCGGATTTTTTATTTATTCAATTAGTTCTTTTTGACGCGATCTGTTATTATTTTTATAGCTTTCATAGGAAATGTGAAGGGGTAAAATTTTTAATTTAATCATTCCTTTCGCATTCTATAAGTGTATATATCTTTTACCGCCAGTGGGGCTCCCATTTAAGTGTGGCGTGCATTGAAACATAGCTATCCTTTTATAGCTGCTATCCATTTTGATTAACTTCGTGCTAGAGTACCGGTACAGAAAATTACATCTAGCGTTAGGAAATCCTATAATATTGAAGCCTGAAAGTGTTTATGGCTTTTTTCAACCATTTTTAATTTTTATAACTGATCTTTTAACATACTAAACTTGCCTTACTGAACATGATTAGTGTTTATATGGTACTACTTTATAATAAAGCTAGACAGCATAAACTTAGGTAAAAAAATAAGGGCGTACCCTAACAAACGCTTACAACTCTAATTTTGTTACAAATTGATAGTACTTCATCGATTATTACTTTTAATAAATCGATGTTTCTTCCCGTAATAATGCTATATATTCTTCATTGAATCGTTTGAAATTAGTTAACACATTTAATTGTAGCTATAAAGCCGCACTTTCATTCAAGTTTATTGAAATTTTAAGAAGACGCCTTACGTATATGGCGTCGCTCTCAAAAATAATTAATGAGTGTGAAATGCGTATGCGTAACTGCTTAATTATCCCGTTTTTTTATTGCAATTACTTCCTGAGACCAACAAATTGATAATTAGCGGTAATAGAAGTGCCCAGGTGGTTGCTTGGTTTTGCATTTAATAAGTTTTTAATTAAAAAGCAAGTTTACTCTTCGCATATTTGTTCATATTATCACCTTTAGAAATTGGTCAATTTATCCAAAGTAAAACTGTCCATGAACTTCTCGTTGGGCTTGTAGTTAGTTTCAAAATAAATTCATAATCTTGGAGATGCCACTTAATACCGTACATATCGTGATAAAAGTAAATTATTCAGTTTAAATCAAGTCATGATTTATTTGATGAATGAATAAACTTTCCACGTATAAATTAGAGTATGCCGTTATGCTAGTAATAGAATTTTTAGCGACAAATTAGATATATTACAATTCAGAAATTTTCTGAGACCGTTAATGATTACTATATAAACGTACTTTTGGACAGTAAATTAGAAATTACACTTAACCCGCTACTGTAAATCACATTTTTTTTTTCTAAAGTAACAAATGAATTCTTAATTGATATAATAAGCTTTCAATGGCTCTTATTTGTTATATGGTTCCTAATGAAATTCTTTTCTTGATTCACTATAATTATAGACGGGTGGATACTTAAGACGCTATTTAGTCGTCATCTAGTTGCTCTCTTTAACCAAATTGTATCTAATTTGCCATTAGACATAGCGATTAAGAGATAATTTAAAGTATCCCCTATTATTCTACCACCTGCAAGTCATCATGTCTAATAGTAATGGCGCCCAAAATGACCACCAACAAGCAGATGATGATAATGATGATATATTACATTTCGAGGAATCAATTAAAGTTATAAAACATGGATACTTTGGATGGGGCTCATTCCATCCAACATGGCTTCAATGTTGTAACCATCGATGGTGGTTACTTTTATTCATCTTTCTTTATGGATTTTTTGCTGAAGTATTAGTATCTGGATTTACTGCCTCTGTAGTGAGCTCGCTGGAAAAGAGATTTATACTAACAAGTGCCGAAGTTGGAGCATTGCCTGCATGTTCAGAGGTTTCTGCAGCAATTATCGGTTTTATTGCTAGTTATTACGCAGGCTTAAGGCATAAAGGAAGATTTCTAAGCATTGGAGCATTGGTAGTTGGTATCGGCTCGATCATTTTTGCATTACCCCATTTCTTTGTCGGACCATATCAACCTATTATTACTACCAGTAATTATACTGATTTATGTATCGATAAACCCGACTCCTTTGCCGATCAAGTTTGCAATATTAATGCAGGTGTTCCTACTTCTTCGCGTCGGTTTTATCCAATCTTTATCATCAGTCAATTGATCATGGGTGCTGGCTATAACTTATTGTGGAATATTGGCTATGCTTACATTGATGAAAATGTCCATCCGCTGTCATCAGCCATGTATCTTGCGATTATGTCGAGCGTAACTGCTATAGGTCCTTCATTGGGCTTTATTATTGCTGCTACGATATTACAAATTTATGTTGATACTCCTAAGTCAGCTCCTATAGGTATCAAATAATTAAAATACTTTTACTCCTTTTAAAATCCTTCAATTTTATCTCTAGTACTTTTATTTCTCTCCAATAAAGTATTATTCGATGTCTGAAATTAAAATCTCTATTTATCTACTGTGCAAGGTATGACACCTTTTGATCCTAGGTGGATTGGTGCTTGGTGGATTTGTTTCTTATCGATGGGAATTATCTTAGTGCTGATTTCTATACCACTATTTGCATTTCCGAAGTATTTACCAGGATTTGAAAAATATAAAGCATTACGTAAAGATATGGCCGGTAAAAATGCTCGGATCGATCATGAATATGGGATCAAGACTAAAAATATCTTCAAAGCAATTAAAGCATTAGTCACCAACGTCCCATACATGCTTATAGTAGCAGGCAATTCATTCGAGTATATATTAGTATCTGGATTTGGCTACTTTTTAGTCAAAATTATTGAAACACGATTTTATATGCCGGCTTATCAAGCAAGCCTCACTACTGGTTATATTGCTTTAGCTAGCGGTACAGCTGGCATTATATTGGTAATCTGATAGGCTAGTTTTATTGATGATAGTTCGATACGATCATATTTGCAAAAACTTTTTAGTACCTTGTAGCTTATTTAAGATATATTTTATACAGCATTATTACCATTAATAACCGAAGGTATATTTCTGATTGGACTAGAGTGGAATAATCATGAAGTTTCTCAAGATGAATGGCGTCGCCGCCATCAAATTGACTTGGATCATTAGTATAGCTGATGCCATAGTTGTTTTAACTTATTTTGTCTACTGCGGTGATCTTCCATTTGCTGGAGTTAACCGTAATTATCCTGATAATCCTCTATCCACACCAACAACGTAAGTTTGAATCAAACTACACTACTTCATTTAATATCAAGCATTGGATAGTTAAGATGATGTTAACAGGAAAGATTTTACAAATCAAGAATTACGAAATGATGTCTAATTACAATTAATTTTGATAATGCCCATGCAAAATTTTTGAGAAACTACAATTACATTGCCGCATTAATATCGTCTCATGTTTCTATATTGAGTATAAAATATACTTGCACTACAATTATTGTATAATTATCTAAAGGAATCTACAATTTTTGAATTGCAAAATTTTACTCTCATGAAATTGCGATTGTCATTCACAAGGCATAATCTAGCCTAAAAGATATAATGTTATTTTCTGATTGATAGCACACTCAAATGATTAAAAGTTTCAAATTTATAACATCACTAGGCTCCCTAGTCCTAATTTGATGTCCTCTTGCAATTCAAACTGCATGTGTAATGGCGTTAAATATAATCCTATATGTGGTATAGATGGAGTTAGTTTTTATTCTCCATGCCATGCTGGCTGCTCAAGCAGTGCCTTTAATCCAGAATATTATACTAATGTGAGTATTCTATCAAAATTAATATGAAGTTTAATAGACAATATTATTACAGCAGTATTCTACGCAAGAAATTTATTTCGTAGATTCAAAGACCTTCATCATAGTATTTTATATTCCTGTATTGCTATCCGAAGATAACATGATCAGATTTTGTATTGGTGTTTTATAATGCTAGAATACTTGCATATCTTAAGAAGAAATCAATATGTAGTTTCATCGCTACCTTCGATAAAAAATTTATAACACCTATAAGCAGATTTTAATTATCACAGTTACTTATTCAGAATAATATACTAATGTGAGTATCAAATCAAAATTAATTTCTTTACTCTGAATTTTGCTAATGATATTTAACTTAATTTCAGATGTACCTAGACTGCAGTTGCGTCAATAAAACAACAATTCCACTACGGCCATATGATGCTCTAGGAGGATTATGCCGTAAATCATGCCAAGAATTGATTCCATTTCTCGTTGGTTTAACAATTTCCTTAACCATCATGAGTGCTAAAATAGTTCCAATAACAGAAGCAATGATGAGGCAAGAATTTCTTTTCATGTATTATTCCTGAAAGAAGTTGAGACTTGCCTTTTCAGTTGCTAATATTGAAATACGCTACAAGTTCTCCGTGGCTACAGAGCTATTAATCTTTACAATTTTACTTTAGACATTGTCGCAGGCTTATTAATACGTTAATTTTCAAGATTTAAAAGTTACTCTCAATACATAGAATCTATCAATTTAATTTACTCGTATATTAACGTAGATATGATATAAAAGACGAGATAATGATAGCTTGAGCAAACCATTAATTTTACTATTTTATTAATAATTTTAGAAGTGTCTCGGAAAGTCAGCGGTCCTTTGCTGTTGGTTTCTCGTGGGTATTCTTAAGATTAGTTGCCAGCCTACCGGCTCCGATACTAGTAGGAGCATTTATTGATCAAGCATGTGTATTTTGGGATAGTAACTGTAGTAATAAAGTATCTGTATGTTTAGTCTATGATAACAAAGCTATAATGTACTATATCAGTGGCATTAGTTTATTTATCAAGATAGCTTCTACTATTTGCTTCTTTGCTAGTTGGATATTTTATAAGAAAGATCATTCCAAACCTTACGAGCATGACTGTAGCCCTGAGATATCAAGTGCTAAAAAAGATTTAGGCCAAACAGCTACATCTGCCAATTTCATATAAGAAGGTGCTATAATAAATGCACTATATAGTCAAAGTGATGCTAGTAAAGAAATACAATTCATTTGGGTACTTACCAGTAATAAAGAGTGAGAAACAATTTAAAATCACTATGTCATTTTTAAGTTTATGATATTTTTAATCTCAATAATCCCTTTCCAAGATTAATAAACATGCTAGAACATATTTTTATAACAGTAAGTAAACATTGTAGATTTGATATAAAAAGCAGGTATCTTCCATAGGTTGTAATATTATTGCTATAAACTATGTCAGGTTATAGCTAGCTGATGTATTTTATTTACAAGCGTATTATGAACTAATGAAATAAGAAGAAATCATGAAGTATTGGTAATTCCAGTATTAACCATATACCTGCTAATTGAAATTTTAGCCATAAATTATATTATTATTCAAGTACATAAAATGATTATGGAATAAAATGGAAATCTAATTTAATGCTGACTTGTAATAATGATAATTTATCTTCCCTACTTGCTTGCAACCATCTCATGTTGGCCATTTTGTTGTTAGCAATAAATTTGTACGATATTGAGTGAAGCAAATGTGTGCAATGAATTGTTGAAGGTAAAGATTTGTTTAGGTTAAAATCTCTTTCGTTATCGTTAGTAACAATGGTAGTAAATTGGATGTGCCTGACCGGTTGTCAAATTCAGCATTATTGTCGCAGAACAAGAGATTATAAAATTCATTTCTATGTAAAAATAAAGAAGCCAATCACTTATGACCGTTAATGTAAGAGCTAATCCTATGGACTTTCCAAGGCTTTGATGTTATGACAATGCTTCTGTGCGTGTTACTTTCTCTGCTATATTGTGGCCATTATTCCAGTTACTCGTTGTATATTATCATTTTAAACAATCCTTACTAATCTAGCCATTAGATGATAGTTACTGTCGTTACAGTATAATAACTGATTAATATGCTACTAAAGAAGGTCCTATCAATAACTATGCTTAATACCGTATATTACAGCATAAGTACCTATAAAAGACTGTCATGTGATAAAAACACTTATAAATCAAAGCTGGCGTTGTTGAAGGTATTAATAATAATAGTTTAAATTGGTTTTGTATGGTTAATGTAGGTATTTGAATGATATAACTTATAACTCAGAAAAGTCTTGAAGCGAGTAGATCTATTCAGTATTTTATGAGATATTTCCTAGCAAAACGTTTATTAATTAAAGCTAGCTTTGCTGTTAGCAATTTGTAAATTTGTAAAGATGGAACTCACCAATAATTATATAATTGCTTTATACAACTTAAAAGCATAGGAAGGCCGCAAGGAGAGTTAAAATTGATTCCAAGTTTAACGAGTTGCACCCTTGCTATGCAGATAACGTGAATGCGTAAATGCGATTTAATGGGGTCGTAAAATGATTCTTTAGCGCTACGTGTATATTATATACGTTGACTCTATAGCCTATCAAGAAATATTTGGCATTTCTGTTAAAAGCCTGGAAGAGTGCGTTAGTGAGTAACGATCAGGTTACCTAGACTAGTAACTGGATCTGTTTTAGGCGATATTTTTAGCTGATTTGATTACGTCTGCTCATTCATAATTACTGCTCAGCTTGCTGTATTACGTCAATATCCAGAAGAGTTGTGTCTTAATATTATAAGTAAACGATTATTCATAATATTGCTAAAGTGAAGAAAAATTTTCCTTCATACACAATTACTTCGACGACAATCAATTTTGACTGCTAGGGTAAGAACTATAACATACTTTTAATTGCATACAATTATACCTTAAACATAGCTAAGGCAATACGAAAAACAGCTATTTTAATCAAGGATCGCTAAATATGATTAAAATAGGAAATGTAAATTAATTATATTAATTATTGATAGATGCGTCGTACAGCATGTTTGTTGTCCTCAGAATTAATCATTTTTAATTTAATAATTTTAATTCTAATTAATATGTAACTACCTAAATTCCATTCTTTAAGCAAAAAAAAGGAAATAGTCCACAAGTTCAACTTTATACTTTTTAATTAAGTTTCATTGCCCAATGCTGTTTAATACTAAGAAAGTGAACGGGTAGTTACAGGCATCAAATAGTCATGATGCAAAGCTACAATTTGTTATAAAGGGTAAAGGAATTAAAATTAAAATTAATCGCAGTGGCAAAATTTCTAGCCTTTTCTTTTCGTCAGGATTTTCTACTCTTATCCAGGCTAAACAATCACTTGAAGACTAGAATTTTGCGCCAGACCTGCCATAAATTAAATTTAACCGTTTGTATCTCTTACTTACGGTATATTTTGTTGTCTGTATGCCATATTTACCGGGTCGTGCTATTTATTACTTGTAATAAGATTAACTTAACTTAATTTATTGACTGTATAGCATTAATTAATTTATTTTCCTATTTCTTTAGATGGTAATAGGGCCCGCCATTTTCTATTGAGAATTGCCGCAGTCGCTGTTAATGTTACCAGTGTAGATAGAATATGGTTGGGCCGTCAAATAAGGCAACTACCGCCTACGGCTGGATCGCTAATTATAATTAAGAAAGTTCCAAATAGTCGTTTAAGGTGAAAAGCCGTTAGTATACGAATGGTAGAGACTACTATAAAGTAATTTTTCGCAGGTTCTAGACTTAAACTTTGCATAGTATAAATCTACAATGAGAGGAATTTGATATATTCTACCCTCTTGTGATTGAAAATATTTTTCTTCTACAACAGCACTTTCCAACTTCAATCGCACGTCTCTACTGGCTAATGGCCGGTTAACCCTCCAACGCTGATTCTCTCCAACTTCATTTTATCATCCAAGCATAATTTCAATATGTACTTATGTCCTAAAAGCAATTTTATGTCTCCATTTGTAATAATTATGGGCATTTTATTAGATGCCATTACAAGTATAATTTCGTCATATTGCAAAACCATCAGTACAAGTAGGTCGAATATGGCGCTTGTATTCTTTTGCAATGATTTTGTATGGGACAAAAGTCATGTTTACGATGTAACATACGAGTGAGTACGATTTGGATTTTGGACCTCCTCACACTTCAGCATTAGCGTTGCCTACATGATACAGTATATTTATTATAGTCTATTTATATAATCGTAATAGTGTAAACATCTCTACTGTTGCCATACGATATCGTTGCCAACTGTTAATGAATTATAACCTAGCTCAACGGGAACTGGAAATTATATCAATTTGTATTAGAGGTTGGACACTAGACATTGGACGATTAAGTGGTGGGTGGCAAGGGCAATCCATCGCAAAAGTCATAACACCCAGCTGCTTTTTAGCTCGGAAATTGCTAATTGCAACTGTTGCTGGGCTGATTAATTAATTGGTTCATTAATTGCTAAGATAAATTCGAACTGATCTACCGTATTCTGCATTCTACTTGTCATTTCTTTGTGAAATGATATCGTCCAAAATCCATTAGCTATCCAAATCATCCTGCAAAATGGCTAGTCGTCTGCTACATTCATCCATAAAATCCTTAAACAAGTCGATGTTGGCAAGATGGGGAAAGCATCTGTCATCTTTACCTTCTGACCAATTCGATGTTGTCATCGCTGGTGGTGGTATTATGGGCTTGACAACAGCATACTTTTTAGCCAAGCGTATCGATCCAACCAAGATATGTGTTATCGAGAGAGATAATAAGGTACATATATGATAGTATCGATGAATCATCATCTACTGTAGATTAGACATGTCTAAATGTTCCGGGGTATGATCGATTCCCGGGATGGACCGTAACTTAATTACTCCCAATGTTCGTAAAGTATCGATAACCGTTCATGGCTTACACTAAGTAGTTAGCAATTGATAGCATTTTTTTATAACTGTGCTACTAGACTTATACGAGTACAGGGATTGAAGTTACCAAGTTTAACGTGAGGCAAAGTGAATTGAGAAGTTTCTCTTAACCAATACGGTTTCTCAATTTCTTACTGCATGCAAGTACTTTATGATCGATGAACACGAACTATTATAATCAGTTCATTTAGTGCATGATTTATGTAAGTGCAATCGTCACGCGATCCAAATGTTGTATTGACAAGTCTGACTCTCCAATTTTAAATGCTATCTTGTAATAGTATGAAAAGGCCTCTACACCACTTTCTTGTGGCTCGATACGCCAGCAATTTTCCGTTCCTGAAAATATAATGATGTCCAAATTTGGTTACGATTTTATTTCGAAATGTAATCAATATCTGAAAGTGGAAGACGATGATGATCTTGATATCCAATTTCGTAACGCCCCTTACGTCTATCTCGTTGATGAGAATCGAGAGAAATTATTGCGTGAAAACTATGATGTTCAACGGTAAAGTGATTTTCTATCATAATTCCATAATAGGCTTATACGTGAAATTGGCCATGTAGTATACAAGATTAGTCAAATCAACTTTCATTTTAATTGTTGAGCAGTTAGTTCATGTCCAACTATATGTTTTATTGAACGAAATTACAATTAAGAGAAACATTCGAATCAGTTTCTTATTTAGAAATTTTATTATCCAATTTGTAGAATACTCCAAGCGAGTCATATTAGATACTAAGCCAATATAATTATTGAAATTTTTCAACACTTTTAATTGTTCACAATTTTCTTATGTACGTATAATTACAATTGTGTTTCTTTTAATTATAACTTAACGATGATCTACTATTCATATTTCGGTATCAACAGTTCCATGGGAGCTGCAGTCAAACTATTATCCAAAAAGGAATTATCGCAAATATTTCCATGGATAAATACGGATGGTATTGCTATTGCTTCTCTAGGTAATAAACTTTCATTTACGAGCCTTCCTTTAAGTTGTTAATCCTGCATGCAAAACTAACTATGAAAATATATAATCGATTGCCACTACGGAGTAAACTTGTCGAATAAATAGTCAAATATCTATAAGCATAATAGAATTAAATTTGCCCTTTTGTTTCGTATCTAGGTCTCGAAAATGAAGGTTCTTTTGATCCCTATTCATTTTTACAATGCATGAGAAAAAAAGTTGTGGCAATGTCAGTTCGATATTTGAATGGAGAAGTTGTTGATATCATGCGAAACCAGAAGGAAATTGCAGGAATCGAGGTGATTGAATGTTTACGTGACATCCTTTGCTGTTTTCAAACTGTAGTACGCATAATTGATATGCTCGTATATTTAAATTTATTTATCCACTGCTTTATGTACTGGTGTTGCATACTTTTTATTGAGCTTTGATTTGAGAAAAATATATCTGCTTTTTCTAATCTTAAAATTTTAAATATTCACATGAACATGATAGGTGAAAATGAACGAAGACAATCACAAAGAATCAATAAAATGTCGTTACTTAGTTAATGCTTGTGGCCCATGGGCTGGCCACATTGCTTCAATGGCTGGTATCGGAAGTGAGAAAGATGGATTAATGTCTGTATCTTTGCCAGTTCAGCCAGCCAAAAGGTACGTGTACGTTTATGATTGTCCTACTGGACCAAAGTCAACGCCCGCAGTTACTGTTGATTCATCTGGCACATATTTCCGGCGTGAATGTTCTGGCTACTATATATGTGGACGTAGTCCAAGCGCTGTAAGTTATCGACAGTATTTTAATCTATCACGTTGACTAGCTGTAATGTGCCGGCACAGAACTTTACTTACATACGGCATTCTAATTTTAATGAGCGTGTGCTCGGCATTGAATTCCAGATAATAGTTTTTACACTAAATTATAAATAATTTTGTACAGTATAAATGGGCAGCTTAAACTCAAATAGTATTTCTGTAATACTTACTTTTTACTTTGATGTTAGGAGCAAGAGCCGAAATGCGATAATTTGGACTGCGATTTCGAGTATTTCTACGATGAACTGTGGGAATTCCTTGCTCAACGCGTACCAGCATTTGAATCTCTTAAGGTTCGACTCTTGCATACGTAAATACCGTAGATAACTATATGATTTAATAAATTGTACGAAAATTAGAGTAATTCTTTAAGAAGTTTGAAAAGCTATTTTCGTTTGTTCACTTTCCAAATTCATGCTTAGATTGTTGGTGGTTGGGGTGGTTTCTACGATTACAACACTGTAGACCAGAACGCTATTATTGGTGCTCATCCTGTATTGCAAAATTTCTACTTTATCAACGGATTTAGTGGCCATGGTATTCAACAAAGCCCTGCCGCTGGACGTGCCATTAGCGAATTAATTATAGATGGAAAATTTACTTCCATAGACCTAACGAGACTCGGATTTGATAGAATTCTAAAGAATTCACCATTGAATGAAACGAATGTAATTTAAACTAATTTACTTTAATGTCTACAAATAATAAAGTTTTACTCTTTTTCGTTATCAGGTATTACGCTTATGATCAGTATTTACTAAAAATTAAAATCAAAAAATGCTACATATCATCTAACTCTAAATTAATAGCATTAGCAGAGAAAGAATTGTAAGCGAGCTTGTAAGTTTCTGACACAATTTTAAGATATGAAATAAAATTATCTGTTATCCTTCGTAAGCCTTTTATAACTTTGTTATATCAGAGATTTATGAACGAAAACTCCGTGGCGATAGTTTTTAACGGAATATAATTTTTTTGAAGGGGGTTGTAGCAAGGGTGGTGTTGGTATCGATATTAATATAGTTATTTATATATGTTTGAAGACATGACGTAGTGATTTCAGCTGATTACAGTACTTGTGGATTTTGAAGGTATGGTAACAGTTTGTTGTAAAGGCTATGTGACGTCGAACAGTCTGTTTAACCTAAGAGAATATTTGTAGGTTGCGGCTGGTATAATGAAATGGTATTCTTGGACTATTCCTTATATTGTAGATTTGCTTTATTTTAACAACTCGAGCTTTGAGTTACCATATTGTGCTCTAAAGGGCTGAAGTCCATTCATTGCTCATCGATTTCCTTGAGAGCTGGCCATCAGGTTTGAAAACTATTTATAGAATTGTAGTTTCACTATTCCTTGAGCTTACTACATCATGTGACTTTACTACTCTTCAGATTGCTCTCAAAAAGATTAAAGTTGGAATTTGACAAACGAGTCATTGAATTATATCCAATCGGGGGATGGCTGCCTAAGACTGACATAAATCTAAAAAAGTCTACGCTAAGTGGCACCAACATTATACTATGTTTATAACAAATACTAGCTATCAGAATTCACAATTTTGATCATCAAATGTTTTACGTACAGTGAATGTACAGTGCAGTCAGAAACTGCACAGAAAGGTTGTTCTTCACCTAACTAACTGTTAAGCTTAATCTTATTAGTAGTCGCACGAGTGCAGGATGAATTAACTGAATCTATAAGATAACGAAACCTGACTAGAAGGCTCAAACATAGTCAGCCTCTTAAGATTGCTGAAAAGTACGCCTTGAAAATCAAGTTACACCTCGTTTATAGAGCAATTGCAGTATTATTGTAGCTATCATTGATCTTGCAAAGTTGTATTACTACATCTGTATACAGTATGAATTGCAGGCTACCACTTTGGATAAAATTTGATAAAATTTTATATAAACTTTTATTTTTAGCGATAATACAGAACTACAACATCGACGCTAGTCTCTAAAATTTCATTTACTAACAATCAATACAATATCATAATCATCAAATACATCAGAAGAGCAAATTTTATCATAAAAGTTGATAGGTAATCGTTTATATGAATAAGTACAAAACTAAACTAGCTAACTTTATAATTACATTTTTAATTAATTATTGGGTCATACTACTACAGTATTACAGACTATGGTACATAGAGTTGTAGTTAGTGAGAAGTCCATGGCCGAACCATTCTTATTTATACTTATTACTTAGGATTAAAATACATTCATATAGGAAATTTACCATGAACTTGGTAACTTACAAGTGTCTCTTATAACTCTAAGGATTATATCAAACTACGTGTGTAAATGACGGTAATCCATAATTTAGGCAATTCTATTTCCAATTTACTTGTCACATAACTATTACAAGATCTTTAATGTAATGAGTTTGGTGTGGCTTTTAAATTTAGTCGTATGTTTGTAACGTCAGCAACTGTTTTAATACTTTGCTTTGACTAGTTTCACGAATTTCGCCAGCTAAAAACATTTCATCAACAACTGTGTAGACCTGAATGAAAATAAACAATTTAAAAAATCTTTAAATTAAGCAGACAAACAAGATTATAACTGAATACTATCAGCTGATATCTACAAAATTAGGTCAATAACAACTTTGCTATTCGACCTAATCAATAGTTGGTATAAAAAGCCCTTGTAAGTATAATAAAGTGTATCATTATCAATACTAGAGGCATGTTGATTACACCAAATTTTGTAGGCTCACAACAACATCTACAGTAATTAGTTACAATAGGAGATACAATGAAGATTATTCTCTATACACTGACAATAGCTAGTAGAAAACTTTATCTTACCTTATAGAAGTTGAACACTAAATCCAATTCGCAAACATTGTGGAAATATTCGTTTAATACCTAACAGGATTGAAGAAACATAGCTATTGAATAGGCCAAAAGCATAAAAGAGTCACTATGGATTTCGATTTAACTATCTTAGGACTGTATGACAACATTAGAAGTTAGAAATACAAACAGATTCGAAAAACGAGTAATATGTATCTACTGCATAGGTAAGATCTGATAATTTAAATTGTAACATTGTGTCTAAGTGCTATCCTTACCTCAACAAAGTTATGTATAGCTTCTAAGTATGCTAAGCTATTATCCGCGATGTCCACGCATAAGCAAAAGTAGAGCCCAGCATAGCGTCGGTATACGATCTTGTAATTACGAAACTGTAAACATACAATCGATATCCATATATCATTAGAGGAATTTTAAACCAATTTGAGATAGGTTGTGATTTTCCGGTATCTTATACAACATTCTACATGTAGGTAATTCAAGTAATTTCATCTCTGAGATCGTATTGAATTACCTCAACAAAGTTGGTATGTTTAGCATCTCGGACAGTTACAAGAGCATGTACTTCTTCTATTAACTTTTGCTTTTCTTCATCTTCGAAATGCATATACCATTTTGCTAAACGTGTTTTACCAGCACGATTCTGGATAAAGATGAAACGAATCTACAAGACCAATAGTCAAAGGTTAGGATAACGTTTATGGAACAAATCATGTAGGACTTTGATGTTGGAATATACTGTACAGTCGTTGTCGACTTTCTTCCATCGAAAATAGAGTTTAAGAACATATTAAAGGTTGTTAAAAACACTAAGTGAACGTTATTTAAACATCAAGTCCAGATAGTATTTCGGAAGATCGTTGTAAACATAGAGGAAACAAGTAACATTTCCCAATAATAGCCTGAGCTTGGCGTGCTAGCCAAGAAAGGACTCAAATATCACGCTATACAGTTCTAACAGCGAGCGCCATGAACTTGGATATCATTTTAAGTCATTGCACTCTTTTTAATAAGTACAGAGATCGAAAGCAATGATCTTCTTGCAAAAGTAGCTAATCGCTGTGATTCCATAATCCTTGTAGGATTATAGTAATACGATAAAGATGGCTGCTGGTAGTCGATAACGTAGATAGTCGATATTCGTCCACTGGACTAACTCGAATACTTTACTGCCAGTTTGAAGTACCGTACAGTATGCAGTACCGCGCACCTTCAACAAGGCGTGATCGGATCGACAAACGCTCCGACATGAACAACATGATTTATTTGACCACTTTATAGAGTCGTATCATTTCTCTAAATAGGTAATCACTAAACTCAAGAGTATTATCATTATAACTGGTATCAATTTGTTGCAAAGGAAGGGAAAAAATGAATCAAAAAAGATGAACAACTTTTTAATTTAATCATACCATGCTGCCTTGCTCTGCCTTTCTTGCCTTGAACGCCCGATTACACGATTGCAGTTTGTCTACTGCGCAGATGTAAATCGCACTTCTAGTACAGTGTACAGTATATGCTGTACAGTACTGTATACTGTACTATTGTACTGTAAAAGAAAAGGCTTCGTTTTAATATGGCTTTTTTTTTTTCTTTTTACCTCCACGACGTTTCTCTTATGTGCTTAATTGTCGAGGAAGGAAGTGTACAGTACAGTGTAGTTGTACACTGAAATGATGAACTACTTAATCTAATTGAGTTGTCCATGACTAAATGGACGGTACTGTACGTGTAGTACTAGTACACCGCCGAAGAGATCTTCATTTTGTATCAGCACTTTCACATTGACACTAGAGGAAATTAATTAGTCCGCCTTACACTGAGGGCATCCGATGCGTCCGACTGACAGATTTGCCCGAATAACAGATAGTATGATTTACTGTAGGATTGGATATACAGTAAAATGGCTATATTTGATTAATGTTGATTAGCACACTACAGTACTGTACAGTATACTGTACACTTATTAGTACCAGTGCCGCCATGACCGAGTGCTGACGACAGCCTGACGTACTGACGTACTGTGAGGATTATGACAGTGAAATTCTTTCCTCTTATCCTACTTTATCATTGAAATTAGCACTGCAGTTGAACCCTAGTTAAAATCCACTTGTACTGCAGTTGTATAAAAATGGAGGAAAAACAGCAGGATCAACATGGATATACGACTCTTATACGGCATTTTGACGTTCTTGATTTTCTCATTCTATTGCACTATATCACTGTAGTGAATGCGAGTGAGTGAGTGTACACTGTACAGTTTATCCCAGTCCATTTTCCCGATAAACTTTGAAAATAAAACAATGAAATTTCTGTCGATTTTTAATAAAATACGAGTCAATCGATAGAGGAAGAGTTAAATTACGAGAATTCGTGCACAAAATTTACGTACTGTACAGTATTTGTCTTCCAAGTCCCTGACCTTCTGCACAGTACTACAGTACTGTGTACAGTACATTATCAGTGACAAGTGGCCGAGTGCTGACGTACAGTACAGTACAGTACTGGCGTACAGACACCTGCGCACTGTTCTGCACTGTACCGTACAGTGTACAGTGTACAGTACAGTACACGAGAGTAAAATTCTGTCAAGCAATCTGTACTGTACAGTACAGTACAGTACGGTACTTCACTCATACAGTGTAGATGTACTGTACAGTAGATCATAAAGGTATTGAACCGAACCTTTCTCAGGTCTACAGCACTGTACGGATTCACCGGAATGTCACAGTGTCCGAGCGTCGGTGTCAAGCCAGTGATTTGAGTCGTTTGACCATAGGTAGGGAGTTCTACAGTACAGTACTGTACATGTCTTAAATTCACTGTGTATTACAGTACAGTACATGAGACTGATGAGAGTAAAATTCCGTCAAGCAATCTACAGTACAATGTACAGTACTGTAGTGTACTAAGAAATCAATCTACAGTACAGTACACTGTACAGCACTGAACGGAATCACCTGAACGTCGCAGTATCCGAGCGTCGGTGTCAAGCCAGTGATTAGAGTCGTTTGACCACAGTTAGGGAGCTCTACAGTACAGTACTGTAGAACTCCCTAACTATGGTCAAACACTCAAACGGTTCAAATCACTGGCTTGACACCGACGCTCGGACACTGCGACATTCCGGTGAATCCGTTCTGTGCTGTAGATTGATACTCATTAGATTGCTTGGTCATTGTCCATCGAAACGATCGTTGGCCACCTTGGTAGCCTAGGACTCTTTCATTGCAGTGGAGAAACAGAATCACCGAGCGTAGCTATGGATCGTCCTAAGGTGTTGCAAAATTATCGAAAGAAATTATTACGCCATCGTGAGCTTGAAGTCAAGCTAAAAGATTGTAAGTAACATTGATAGTCGATTTAAAATGATTCTCCAACATCGTTATGGCTAAAAGTTGGATACAAGAGAAATGGTTGTTAGTATAGCAATGTTGGCGTCGCTGTAATCAGTCATGACCAGCAAAAGCCATGACAGCGCTCGTTACAGTATTGGCCGCACAGTATTGTTCTAGCACGTTACTATCAGTAGATTCAAGAAGACTTTCTCCAATATGGACCAGCTAATGATTGGAGTTTCGCTTTCTGGACATACAGTATTGGAAACGGTTTTAAATGACCAAGCTATGATCGTAGGCAATGTAGGCACCATCTAGAACGGCAGAAAAGTAGAAATTACCTTATTCTACTTGTTTTTAGAACATTTCTCATCACTATCTTACGAGATAGAGACTAGCGTCACAAGGCGATCTACAGTAGTAAACTACAGGAACGATATGGTTGCCATAGCGTTCGCCTTCAGTCAGCAGGACTTCAACATTGCTCGAAAGTTTGAAAATAGTTTTCTATTTTGAAGCCATGATATTAGGGCAGTTTGCTTATCATATCGTGGGAAGAAAATGCCTTAAAGTAATTATGCCAAGTTTTCATAAATTTATCAGGGTCATCGTTCGTAGTCTATAGACTTAGATAGAACTAGAGAGTATGATGGTGCAGTCAAGATGAGAGGCTACAATTTCTTTGAAAGTTGAAAATGTTTTCAACTCTCAAGCCGTGATCTTGCGGGCCGTAGTCATCCTCCACTATTGGGTAATAATCCTACAACAAGTAGAAGTACTTTATCCTCGAAGATTTACGCTACAAATTACTTATTTATTCCTCTTCTCACCGCTCTAAATACGCACGGCATCAGTCTTCGTAGTGGAGTCATGAGAAAGAGCGAATACTGTGTAAAGGTGCACTATGTCATTGTACCACAACATAACACAAGATCGAATATCTGTTTCATAACTACAGCAGTTCACATGGAAATTTTTCTTATACGCCTAGTTAACGCGTATTTTGCGAGGATATATTGGAAATTTTTACAGTATATACAACTGAAACGAAAAGTACAGTAAAAGTATTAGTATGAACTCATCAGTTATACCCGTATACAGACAGACTTGAAATGATGAGTTTACAATAAATTTAATTGTACACTAACAATACTGGATCCCGTAATGTTATATTCGATATAATTCGAAATATATTGGCATTAGTAATACACTGGTACAGCAATAGTAGATCTTGGTATGGAGCCATTGTCTACATTAATGGAGCTTTTGAAAATCGGCTATGGTATTTCTTACTTGATCATACTTTCGTACGATATTACAACGTTACTTAGGTAGCTTATTTCAATGTAAGAAAGTAATAATATAATCCTCGATCAGGTGCCGTACTCAATTCCCATTTACCAAAAATGAAGAGTTATTAAGCTTCAATTGACTTTATGAGCAAACTCTAGTGTTGCTATCTACACAAAAATGCTATCTTTGAGCGACCTCACAAACGATGTGCTTACTTGGAGTTAACCCACATTATTACAGAACTGTAATAAAATAGATATTTTAAAGGGCCTCATGTGCAGTATATTAAATGATTTAAGATATCCTCACATAATTTGAAAGACAAATTTTAAAATACTGTAGCTTTATACAACTGTGCTTTATACATTTTTGCATTTATGGCTAGACTACTCCATAAAACTCGAATTCTACTTATTTAGAAAGATCGTCTAAGTCAAATTAACATCTACTGATGTTATCTATCAGTCAGACTTTACTAAATATCGGCTATATTCATTTCGATAAAATCTCCAGAATATTTTACATAAAGGTCGATCAAGATTGATGTATAAAGGTATTACTATAATTTTGTGCTTTCAAAATATTATAGTAAGAATGAAATTAAAAGATCTTAGCAAAGAATATGAAAAATCGGAAGATAACCTTAAGGCACTTCAAAGTGTAGGACAGGTATCGTCTTGATTTAAATGCCAATCTTGGCAAATAGGAAATACTCTTTATAACATGTTATAACCGCAATCATTATTAGTATTACAGTCAAGCGCTTCTTTTTATTAATAAGAAATGTACATCTGAGTGCAAATTTTTAAAGAGTCATATTTATTTGTAACAGTAAGATAATATATAAATATGCATCTATGCAACTGAGGATCTAAATTTGCTATTTATAACTTTTTATACAAGATTGTTGGTGAAGTACTAAGACAGCTAGCGGAAGAAAAATGTAATGATTATATTTCTATGACGTAATTATACTTTATACAAATTTATATTGGTAAATTAGCTCAGCTCGAGATTTTTTCGCTGACATTCCCTCTATATTTATTTTATCAGATATCGTTAAAGCTACCAATGGACCAAGATATGTTGTTGGCGTTCGAAGAAGGGTATATCTCCTATAATGTTTCTTGATGTTTATTACACCGTAGCTGACTTTAGTTCGTCTTGGCGATCCTAAATATTATGCATGATAGTTTCGTATTAACACTCAATAAATTTTTAGATTGATAAAAACAAACTTAAGGCGGGTACGCGTGTGGCATTGGACATGACAACTCTAACAATTATGAGGTAATTAATAATAAAATATTAAAAAAAAAGTTATTATTAAGTGTTTCATTTTCTAACATTCGTACCGAATTATATTCTATTGGATAAGATGTTTACCTCGAGAAGTTGATCCTTTAGTGTATAATATGTCTCATGAAGATCCTGGTGATGTGTCATTTTCTGGGATTGGTGGTCTAAGTGAGCAAATTCGTGAATTGCGTGAGGTTAATAACATAGATAACGTTTAGTGCTCTTATTTTACAATTGTAAACAAGTGTTGAGATTAAATTTGTTGATTCTCCTACTATAAACCTCCAGGTAATAGAATTACCTTTGCTCAACCCTGAATTATTTCAACGTGTTGGCATAAATCCTCCGAAAGGTGTACTGCTGTACGGACCACCAGGTTGTTTACTACATTATAACAGTAGTTCCTTGTCAGTATACAACTGTCAGTGCTTTTTACCGAATCTATTGCTAATACTGGACGATTTTATTAATTAATTATTTCAGGTACAGGGAAGACATTGTTAGCTAGAGCTGTCGCAAGCCAATTAGATGCTAACTTTTTGAAGGTATTGTGTTCTTAACCTATGACTTTTATGTATTGTATGTACAGTATATTCTGGCAAACATGCCTAACCTAATTTTTGCTCATATTCCAGGTAGTTTCCAGTGCTATAGTAGATAAATATATCGGCGAAAGTGCAAGGCTTATTAGAGAAATGTTCGGTAAAAAAATTAGTGAATAGGCAATTCTGTTTTCTGTTTTGTATAAATGCTACATACCTTCTTTGACATCCATTTTAGCGTACGCACGCGATCATCAGCCTTGCATTATATTTATGGATGAAATTGATGCCATTGGTAAGTTTCTCTATACTACGTAATGCGCCTTTAGGTAATTGCCGTTGTTGCGCTCTATAGATTTTCTCTATATGTCTTATATAGGTGGAAGACGATTTTCTGAAGGTACTTCTGCAGATCGTGAAATTCAACGAACACTTATGGAGGTATGATATCTAGCAAGAATTACTTTAAAACTGTAATGCGTATAAGCGGAAGTTAACAAAATATTTCTACTTGCCATTTCTGGAATTAGTTATTAAATCAAATGGACGGCTTCGATGCATTAGGACAGGTACAAGTGTAATTAATTACTTCGGAGTTTAGTGTTAAAACTAACTTAAATGCTAATATTTGACATACCATAAATTGCAGGTCAAAATTATTATGGCCACCAATCGCCCTGATACTTTAGATCCAGCCTTGTTGCGCCCTGGACGTCTTGATAGAAAGATCCGTAAGTTGTCACCTAGTGTTTGGCGTGATCACCCTGTCCCTTGATTAATAATTGTGTTACAAATTTTTTTACAGAGATTGCTCTTCCGAATGAACAAGCTAGATTAGAGATATTAAAGATTCATGCTTCTCCAATTACCAAGCATGGCGAAATCGGTTGGTATTAGAATGTTACGAAATAAAGATGAATAAGACGGCTGAAATATGTTTCATTCAGTAATGGCTTTTCCTAAGCTAATATTCTTAAACTATTACCTGATAGATTATGAAGCTGTCGTTAAATTAGCAGAAGAATTTAATGGAGCTGACTTACGAAACGTTTGTACAGAAGCCGGTAAAATATTAAAGCCTCTCATGTTGATTAAATTTTGTGTGATTACTGATTTTGTAAGAAAGAGCGGAAGTAATATCTGATTGGTTATTCTTTTAGGCATGTATGCTATTCGCGCAGAAAGAAATTACGTAATCGATGAGGACTTCATGAAAGCTGTACGTAAAGTAGCTGATAACAAAAGATTAGAAAGTAAATTGGAATACAAGAAAATGTAATTTGACACCCTTTGCGAGCAATAGAGAATCAGACTCTAATAAACTCTATGTAAAGACGAATGGATGGTCGTCCAATTTTTAATTATTTGTAAACTGATATATCTACATTCTTTCATTTCTTAATTACTTTTATTGGTTGTTAGCTAACGTTGAAGAATAAGAATTGTGGTTAAAAAATTGTTAGTTGGTTAAACTTTTGCGAAAACTTCATCGAAACTTTTATTGTATTAATAAGTTATTGATGTGAAGCTATAACGCGTTTAAACCCAAATTGCAATAAAATATGTTAAAAAATTATTCATAGGTTAAAGAGCCGTTATGCGCACTAGAGGGTTAGTTAGTTATTATGTTATAGAACATGCAATATAGCACTTATTGATTTAAATTTTCAAAATTAGATCATCATGAGCTAGTAGCCATATTTCTATCAATAATCGTAAACACATTAGATTGATTTTGTATCATAACAAAATAAATCTAAAAATTGATTAGCTGATAGTATTTCCTAAAAGACGAACGATAGTCAAGTACACTACAGTATGATCCAATTATCTTCAGATGATAATACTATTACAATAACCTTTAACTTACTTTGTTGCATCAATTAATTGTAGTAGGCAGTTAATTCAAAAATACTATACTTGTGTAAGAAAATGAATAACAAGCAAAGTTGAAAATCGACTATCAAATTTGTTTAAATTTTTGATATAGAAAAAGCTACATGTAGAAAAAATTTCATCTAACAGTAAATGATCGTCTTACAATAAACACATCAAATAGACGAATCCCTTTGCAAGTTGATTTGATTCATTTGTTCTAACAGATACATACAAGTAATCCGACGAACATTGTCAAGTTGTTCATGTAACGCTTTTATTGTAGCTTTGGCCTCTAGGCATTCCTCCTCTAACTGTGTTTTCTCTTCCCATAATTGGTTATACATCTGAATTATGTATAAAAATATAAAAAAATTGAAGAGAAAAGCAAAAAACAAAGCAAAAATTTGATCGATGTTAAACTAGCGTTGGCGTAGAATCTTGTCGAATTTATCTTGAAATCTGATACGTAGATATTTTTGCACCTCTTCCGTTACAGCAATAGATGCGCGACCATTACGACTACTAATTGATGTATTACTACCAAATTTCTCTTGAGCTGGTAATAGCTTTTCGCTGCTGTTTTTTCTCTGTACAAGATCATTAATGAATCTACCCGGCATCGTTCTTGATCGGTGCCTCTCATCATCGTCGGGATTTTGAATAGTCATACTGGCACTTTTTCGAAATTGTTCGCAATCGCGAACACCGGGTAAAGCGGCCATAGTATGGCGCTTTTGATCTTTTTTCACTTTTTTCTTAATCAGAGAATGTGTTCTGGTAGGCATCTGATCATCTAAATATTTCGAAAATAGCATTAAGTTAAGATACAGTCATCTATTTCTTTTGCTGTTATTATCAATGAAAAAGCCAGAAATAAAATGGAAAATGCCAAATATTGCAGGAGGCTCTAGAAATTGGCCTTGAACTTACTGTTATCCCGATTATTTCGTGGCCGACATTCTGCTACCACTAGATCTTTGCACTGTTTATGGCAATTTATTCCACAGCCTAGATAGATCAATTAGTCATTAGTAATGCTATCATCAAGTCAGTTCTGTGTTGTTTCTGGTAGAAGCATAATCGTTTTACTTTACAAACCTTTGCACTTGTATCCTTGTTTAATAACGCCCCAAAGCTTAAGCAAGCAATCAAAATAGTTCATCAGTCAATTATTTGCGATAGTTTTTTATATTTTGTTTATCGTTAGGTTGTAACTTACAAGGCGTGCACAATGATAACAAGTAGTTAGAGATAAATAGGTTGTTTCTTGAAATTCATGGACAAATCCTTGACGTAAAGCTTGAAAATTTGCCCGTTCGAAGTAGGTCAATAATTCTTCTTTAGTAATATGGCCATCGCTATTACAGTTGCAGGATATAATTGCAAGATTTAGTTAAGTTTACTTGACTTTATTTCTCTCTTTTGATAAATCATCAGTTAGCGTAGCAGCTGAGAAATTAAAAAAAGACTTACTCATCAGTATCAATGACCCCAAACGCATCAAGAAATGGAAAATTACTAGCAATAGCAGCAAATTCTTCCATAGAGAGCACTCCATCTTTATTACGATCATAACACTTGAAAACAGCCTTAAGGAAATATTTTGGTGTAAATACTTTTATTAAATGTCTATGATAAGTTGTAATCTACTCTGTTTCACTGTCTAATTAAAATTGCGGGTATTCCTAGTTTTAACTTATTATCTGATTTATATTAGTATGGATAACATGTACAATACGTACCTTAACCATAGCTTGGATGTGCTTTTTGACAATATCTGGGCTAATATTACTTGTAATAGTGGAAGCCCATGCTCCAAAAACATTCTCATTGGTTTTTTTCTGGAATAACGTTTTTAAAGTGTAAGAGGATAGCGTATACAAATTAAACAAATTCGGTCAAAATATGGCTAACTTCTATGATAAATATGAATCAACTTTGCTCTGATTTATAAAATAAATTATAAATTGTGCCCATTTTATTCCTGTTAATAAGTGGACTTACTATAGATCCGGCTGCTTTTGGAGCTCGAGGTTCTCTGGCTAATGATAATTCATAAATTTCATTTTCAGAAAATCGAGGTTCCAGCGATAACTAAATGAGAAAAGGACAAGATAGAGACAGGATGACCACATATTAGCTTTACCCTGATTAGGAATACCGTATTAATACAACTGTTTAGTGTTTACGTTGAATATTTTTGTTAAATTCATATATCCTGTAAACTTTCATGAGAAAGTATTTAACTTCGAACATTTCTATTGAATTTACGGTAAATACTTTTATTGAATTCACATATTCTTTCAAACTCCTATGAATTACCTGTAGCTCAACATTTTATGCTTAATATTGATATCAAATTAAATTACGTATTTCTTCATACCTTCATCATATCAATTGTTTCAGCATTGACTTTGATATCAGGAAAATATTTTTGCCCATTCGTTAATTCAGACAAAATACATGATAATTGTAAGAGCTTTTGATAATTAATCTTTTGATCGCGAGTATAGTCAGGCATAACAGCATCTAATGAGACTAAATCTTTCAAGTGGATTGCTAGAAAAATTACATTTTAAAAGAGAGGATTTATGTTAGCTATTGGCTATTTTTAAATCGAAAATGAACTTAACAATCTAATCATCGCTATATATGTATGATGATTACCTCTAGTGGATGATGTTGGATTAAGGATGAATTGAGTTATAAAAGTATAGACGAGGCATTATTGATAGAAATCAAGAAGAGATATAAATTATCTAAATTAGCACTACTATAACATTGATTCCACAAAATATGCATATTACATCGGTATAAAATCAATGAATAGAACTGCATTGCAACTTATAAAATTGAGCACTCCATAATATAGTAATGATGAAAGATCGGGATATCTATCTAACTCCAAATTAAAAAAGGTAGTACATGAGTACTTACAACATTGGCATCTTGTAGCAATTGCATTCAGCTACAGCTTTACGATATCGACTAGCGTTATCGGTAACGGTTAGCAAATCAATCATTCCTGCAAGAGCCTACATTGGGTAAGAAATAGAAATAATATTTTTCCATTTATACTTAAAACATAAACATTCTGAAATAGAGGTAAAACATTTCATGAAATAATATTTTACCATTTTAGATTCATTGGAAAGTAATGCAAACGTTTGATTGAGTCTTGCTAAAGATGTATGACTTAAACCGGTAACAACAGCCATTAGTGTTTCGAAGTTATTGATAGCTTTTAGATACTATTATCCATAGTAGCGAGGCAAGCAGTTTATAAAAAAATGGATGAAAAGGCGTTAGTAAGGGGAAAATACATTTAGCTTCTTATATAAGAGCAATCTGATATTTGTTTCATCGGTATCTACTTAGAATTTAGAATCGAATTCTTTAGTATCCCCAAAATTCTAATAATAGTCATTTTAGATACACGAATCCAACTCAAATCAGCAGAAAACTATAAATATTTAGCCCATAAAGTATCACATTTAAAAATTCATCAGGCAGCAGATTTCTAATTGGCTTCCATAGATTTACCTTGCCTACTTCGATGAATTTAGTCACGATCTTAGCTCTATCTTCTGCTGTAATACCACTTAACACCATGCCTTGTATCCATGCCACAACACCATTAAAGATTCCGATTGATGAACCTAATTGTGGAGTTGTTTCTGTCACCTTTCCTTTTTTGGCAAATTGTCGAATCTCTTGAATCTATAGACAACAAGAAGATGAGTATAATCTATCATAGAATCACTAGGTAATGATATTCTGATGGAAGTAACATCCATCCTTTCTGATGTGCGTTGACTTAATATTTGCTATCTCATGATCGCCAAAGACTACCGACGATAGTTGATTCTTTTCAATTACCTGTACATCAGCGAAAGTGGTGGATTCGATATAAGTTAGATGGTTAGCAATGGATTCAGCAGTCATGGTAGCAAAATCCAATGAAAAATTGCCCATTTCACCATTACATTGAAAAAAATCATCAGTCGTATAAACTGCTCCGCTGGCGATAGATTGATAGGCAGAACTAGAGGAGTTGTGGTGATTAGGAGATTAGGAAAAGCAGAAAATAAGATATTCATTATAGTTTATTCAGATTAGTATTCATTAGTCTAATGACAGAACTTTGAGAACTTAATTTTTTCTGATATTATAAAGACTTTAACATATAAAGTATCAATTTGTCGCTAACATTGGACTTGGATCGAATAATTGAGCCAGAATTTTATCGCCAGCCGTCATTAAATCGTTATGGATGTTAATAATTGCCGCTTCAAGAATGTCGTCATGGCGGAATTGGTGAGGGAAATTTTCAATCCAATATCTATAATTGTCAATTGAATCCAATAGTAAATTGTTTAAAGGAAAAGAAATGAGCATATGAGTGTGCTAATGGAAATTAAAGCAATTTAAAATTAAATGGAGTTACCTGAAAACTTGTGCCACCACTATTTTCCAGTCTGTAGCTAGACAATCTTGAGTCGAAATATTTTGAAATGCTCTTGAAATATCGTCAGGTAAAATATCGCTGTGGAATCTGTTATAATTGAAGTGGGGCGAAGTTGTTGGAAATGAGAATTATGTTAGTTTATCCTCATGAAACTATTTGCATTCCATTACAGGACATGATTTTTTCCTTTTTAGTTTTATTTGTTTCGATAGATATACGAGATAAGTTGGTATATACTGTAAAGCATATATTATCAGTCTTCATGAATTTTAACAAGTTATTATCACTTACATTTCTAACAGATTGTCGCATAAATCTTGAGAATTAATAAACCAGGGATGGCAAACGAAAAAGGCTTGCAAGAAATGGTCATTTTCATTCCTAATACCATTTTCATCTTGAAGTTCAAATCCAAACAATGTTATAAAAGTAGAATAAGGCGGAAAAGAATTAAAATGAATTGTCTTCAATAAGAATGTAATATCTATATTGAAGCTGATATTGATAATCTCAAATGTATTTGTAAGAAATCATTAGGATAAATTTAAACGATATAGTATCACTGTATCAAGTATGAAAAGTATCCTCTTTTGTTAATATACTATCCAGTCTACCCTTCATTGAGTCCCCTTAACAGAAAACCTCTAACAACAAAAATCACTTAGGCAGATATGATCGAGAGAAAGGATATCCTTAAGTAGATTGAATGATGTTTCTAAATTGCGTCCAAACTTGACAAATGAAACTTCCGATATGGCTATTCCGTAAAGTAGGAATATAACTAATCATTTTCAAGCAGCAATTTCGTCATTCATAAGTCTTCAAGCAATCAATGGAAATGGCCTAACTGCAACCTTCTTATGCAGTTCTAATAGACTCTTTTACTATCAAAAATTGACTTTATAATATTAAACAAATTGAATTGCAGGAAAACAAGGATGGCCAATCGGGTATTTTGAAAGTGTAGAAGCTCAGCTTAACCCTAGCCCTAACTTTAATCCTAATTCTAATCCTGAGTATTAATGCTTATTGCCTACGAAACTGAAATTACGCGCTGTAGTTATCTATTCAACTTTATTTCGGAAAACTGCGTGATTAATAACTTGAGATGGCTAGTGAAATCAGAGTGCTACCGATTGCTGAGCAATCCAAGTACTCATGGCTCAAGAGTTAGAATTAATATGTATTCAGTTGACTTTATATACGGTAGATAAGTCCACATGATTATCTTCAGTTCATGAGTTTCAGTAAATATTTAATCAAACAATGGAAATGATCTAAAGCTGTCTAACTGCCTGGTCCATCTTACTTACACTACTTTAGACAACATGATTATATTTATCGATAATTGCCGGATAATTGGTAGTTAGAAAGCAGTAGAATGGAATCTAGTACCCATAATTTGTGAGTTGTCATGAATAGATGATTAATCGTTAGTGGAATAAAATACTTATAGCTCATGAGTTATTATGCATAACCAATTAAGCAAAGAAATTAATCTAAGATAGTCTAGATATTCAGTTCATTTTTGTATAACAGACGTTAAAGATTAGTCTACATGATTAATTAGTAGCTTGATGTAAATAAAAAATCAAGACAAAACCGTGTTATAAAACATAATTCATCTTATTCATAGTCTTTAGACATGATTACCGATGTGTGCTAGATAATTGCTTGTTAGAAAGAAGTTAAATGGAACCTATTACTCATAATTTGTGAGTTACCATGAATAGATGATTAATCATTACAAGGTACGGTAGTGGAATACAATACTCATAGCTCATAAATAATTGTGCTTAATCAATAAGAAAAAGGTAATAATTTAAGCTAGTCCAAATATTCATTTCATTTTATTATATTATATTACAAATTAGTCTACGTGATTAATTAGCAGCATGATATAAATGATAGATCAAGACAAAGCCGTCTTATGAAATAGAATTCATCTTATCTATAGCCTTTAGATATCTTGACTATCGATATGTGCTGGATAGTTGGTTATTAGAAAGCAGTAGAATGGAATGTATTACCTACAACTTGTGAGCTACGATGAATAGATGATTAATTGTGACAAGGTAGTGGAATACAATACTCATAGCTCATGAGTGATCATAAATATTCAATCTGACGAAGAGAAATAATCTAAGGCAGTCTAGAAATTTAGTTTATTTTAATATAGGTTAGTCTGCATAGTGAATTAGTAGCAGGATATGGATAATGAATTAAGGATAGCGCCGTGTTATAAAATAGAATTCACCCTATTTACAGTCTATAGACAACATGATTATCGGTATATGTTGAATAATTGACTGTTAGAAAGTGGAAGAATGAAATCTATTATCCACAACTTCTGAGTTACGATAAATGGATGATTAATCATTGCAAGGCAGTAGAATACAATACTCATAGCTCAAGAGTTATCGTAAATATTCAATCTAACAAAGGAAATAATCTAAGGTAGTGTAGATATTCAGTTGATTAATATAGGTTAGTCTATATGATGAATTAGCGGTAGGATATGGATAATGAATCACGATAAAACCGTATCATGAAATAGAATGTTCATAACTTGTGAGTTACGATACATGTTCGAATTAACAGTGAAGTGATTTAAAAATTTTAAATTTAATAGTAATAAATGTTATAGCTTCAATCTTTGTCATAATTAGCGGTTCAGACATAGTATATAATCGGTTATCTAGCTCCCAAAATGGAAAATAGTGTAAGAAATTATACGGTAATGGGTAAGTGCAATAAGAGATAACTGGCTATATATGCGTTCATAATAACACTTGGCTGAGCGGAAATGATCAAAGTTTTATCCCTCTGGCGCAAGTTAAACGGTAATGTGATATGAAAAGATAGCACGTCCTCTTCAAGTACAACAATAAAAAATAAAGTTTTAAATGTATAAGTAATGAGAAATATTAGCCCAGCAATAAAAATTCAACTTTTAGCTTAATTATTCTTAAAATAGGTGATCCCACCACGTTATTAGCAGCCCAAATTCTGCTTTGTATTCAATGATTTTGCTCTGAAAGTTCCAAAGTGAAAGAATGGACTATTAAAACGCACTCATCAATCTCGAACCTAATATCATGAGACAAGCTATTTTGGCATCATTGGTATTTAAGTTAGAAAAATATATTAATGGACAAAAGAATTTATGTTCATTTGACATAATATATTTCGTGTTATGATGCTACTGTACTAATATCTTTCCGTTGGTATCTATCATTACTGGCAGCAATTAATAGCGACAAGTTAATGTCAAAATAAAGGTTGAAAATTAAAAATTTAAAGAACATAATGTTTGCATTAGCCTTTATTTTTGTCTATTTACCTTTTTATATCCATTCAGAGAAAAATTATAAAATGGAAAAAGTGAAAGGATTGATCAATAGCCAATTTGCATAGAATAGGCATGACATAACGAAGAGGAAGTCATATTATTAGACGCAAATTACGTTTAGGGTTCATAGGGTTATATTGGTTGATGAGATCTATTCTACAATATTTTAATTGTTGTACTACAGTAGGTGGTTATGATCTATAGGTAATCTTATCACTAGGTGACCAAAAAGAAAATAAAACAGCAACTTTGAAACAATTAATATCTTCATCTTATTCAACGCCTTAAAATCATAAAACGTACAATTATCGATCATGTAGGATGTAGCCGTCATCGAGTGCTTGCTAGCTATGACGATAATACTAATATAACAGGCAATTGATTAATCTAGCTTAAAAATAAGATGAATTTTTGTCGTTTATAAGGTTAAGTTTCAATGCTAACAGTGAACTGTTAATTATCCATCATCATTTCCATCAAGACACATCGATGGAGATGAATGTGGCTACATAAATAAACATACGTATGAAATATAATTGAATCATGGCGTCCTATTTGTATTGAAATGGAATATCGGAAATTAGATTTCAGGGTAAACCTTGACGATAACGTCTTTCTACACAAAGCTAGCTTTATTAATGTGAAAAATAGTAGCTAGTTCTGGGTATTCTCTCCTGTTAAGTTTCTATCGAATATGTAGTAAATACTGCCTCGATTTAGAAATAAATACGATATTACTTTTTCTATTATATACTCGTACATAGTAATTATCATCCAAAACTGATGTTGTCTAAATTAGAAACTCTTTCTTGGTCTATTTAACCAATAGAGATTATAAGATGGTTATTG